TGGTCCTTTTGATTTCTTTTTTTTGTTTGAGACAGGGTTTCATATATTGCCCAAGTAGGACTGAAACTTGCAGTCCTCCTGCCTCAGCCTCCCAAGTGCTGGGTTTATAGTTGTGTGCCACTGCACCTAGCTTGTTTGTACGGTATGAGTTTTACCTCTCTAGATACCTCAGACAAATGAAATTGTATAGTATTTGTCTTTTTGTGACTGTCTTCACTTTGTATAATGTCTTCAAGATCCATCCATGTCAAAGGATGTGTCAAAACTTCCTTTTTCAAAGCTGAGTACTAGTCCTTTGAATATACATACTACATTTTGTTCATGCTTTCATTTGTGGGTGGACATTTGGGTTGCTTCTACCTCTTGGTTATTATGAACAATGCTACTCTGGCCAGATGTGGTGGGGCATGCCTGCAATCACAGGACTGAGGAGGCTGTGGCAGGAAGATCACCATGAGTTCAAGGCCAGCCTGAACTACAAAGTGTGACCCTGGCTCAAAAACAACAACAAAAAAGAAGAAGAAGGAGAAGGAGAAGAAGGAGAGAAAGAAAGAGAAAAAAATGTTTCTATGATTATTGGTATGCAAAAGTCTCATTAAGACCCTGCTTTTTCAGAAGACAGATTCACTCACATGTGAAATCCAAAAGTGGAGCTTATAGAGGCAGAGGGAGGAGGACGGTGGTTAATGGGCTGATGGGAGAGGAAAATGGAGATGGGGAGATGTTGCTCAAAGGGCACAAAGCTTTTGTTAAACAAAAGGAATGAGTTTTAGTGATCTACCACATAGCGTGATGAACGTAGTTAATTTATTCTACATTTGAAATTAGAATTGAGAGCCTGGTGTGGTGGTGCACACCTGTAATCCCAGCACTCTGGGAGGCTGAAGCAGGGGGATTGCAAGTTCAAACCCAGCCTGGGCGACTTAGTGAGACCTTGTCCCAAAATAAAAAATTTAAGGGGCTGGGATTTAGCTCAGTGGTTTTGGCACATGGCTCACAAGTGGAAGGACCTGAGTTCAATCCCCAGTACCAAAAAAAAAATCAATATTATTATTATTATTTTGGATTTTTTGAGACAGGCTGTGCAGTTCAGGCTGGCCTTGAACTCACTATGTAGCCCAGCCTGGCCTTGAACTTGCAGTATTCTCTTCCCTCAGCCTCCAGAGTGCTAAGATTACAGGCATGTGCCACCACGCCTGGCTAAAATTAATTTTTTAAAGAAATACCAAAAAAACCCCCACCTGCCTTTCAGTGCTTTGGATAAATATCCCCCAAATGTACTGCTGGATCATATGGTAATTCAATTTTTATTGTTTTGAAGAACTGCCAAACTTTTCCAAAGAGGCTATACCATTCTACATTTCCACCAGTATCGCACAGTTCCAATTTCTCCCTATCCCCACTAACATCTGTTATTTTTTTCTACTTAAACTGTTCTAATAGGTGTTTTTTTATCGTAGTTTTGATTTGCATTTCCCTATTGATTTAGTGATGTTTAGCATATGCTTCTTGTTCATCTTCTTCATAGATGTGTCAATTCAAGTCCTTTGCCTATTTTAAATTTGTATTTTGTTGTTGTTAGCACTGGTTGTAGGAGTTCTTTGGGTATTCTGGACATTAACACTTTACTAGACATATTATTTGCAAACATCTCCTCACTTTTCATAGATTGCCTTTGTACCCTGCGAAGGGTATCATTTTATACACAGAAATTATTCATATTGATGTCAAATTTGTCTTCTTCATTCTTTTTTTTTGTACCAGGGATCGAACTCAGGACCTTGCGCTTACAAGGCAGGTGGCAGAACCACTGAGTTAAATCCCCGGCCCTATCTTTTTTTACTCTTGTTGACTGTGTTTTCGTGCATATTCTGGAATCAGTGCCAAATCCAACGTCATGTAGTTTTCCCTCCTATTTTTATTCTGAGAGTTCTATGGTTTTCACTCTTAAATATTTAGCACACTGATCCATTTTTCAGTTGACTTTTTTGTGTTTGGTGTAAAATAAAGAATCTAACTTCATTCTTCTGCATGTGGATGTCCAGTGTTCCCACCCTGATTTGTTGAGAAGACTGTCCCTTCCCTATTGGCTGGTCTTGGAGCGCTTGCTACAAGTCACTGGACATATTGTCAGGTTTCTGGGCTCTCCTATTCTGTTGGTCTGTATATTTGATTTATGCAAGTACCACAGTTTTGATTACTGTAGCTTTCTAATGAGTTTTGAAACAGGAAATTCTTCTTCTTTTTCAATATTTGCTAGTTTTTTGAGGTTCTTTGCAATTCCATAGAAATTTTAGGATGGATTTTTCTATTTCTGCAAAAAAATTTGCCATCAAAATTTTGATCAGGATTATATTAAATGTATAGATTGCTCTGGGGTAGTATTGACACATTAATGATACTGTCTTCCAATCTATGAATACAGGATGTCTTTCCATTTATTTACATCTTATTTAATTTCTATCAGCACCACTTTGTAGTTGGTTTTTTTTTTTTTTTTTTTTTTTTGGTACTGGGGATAAAACTTGGGTCCTTGCACTTGCATGGCAGGCGGCGAAACCACTGAGCTAAATCCCTGGCCCAACTTCCCAACTTTGTAGTTTTTAATGTATAAAGTTTTCACTTCTGTGGCCGTCTAAGTATTTTACTCTTCTTGATGTTATTGTACATGGAATTGTTTACTTAATTTTCATCTCAAATGTTTATCTTTAGTGTATACAAATGCAACTGATTTCTGAGTGTTAAGTTTGTATCTTCCAACTCTATTGACTTCATTTATTAGTTCTAACAGGGTTTTGTTTGTTTTAAAGTTAAAGTCCTTGATGCTTATCAGATATGGCCAGGAGCCTCCCTAGTCCTGGGAGTTTCCTTCACTCTCGCTCTCAATCTTCCCTGGCTGCTTATGCTGCAGTCATTGCTGATAACCCCTGGTGGGAGCGGCTTTGCCACCACCACTGCCACCAGCAGAACTTCCTGGGGTAGCATTGGGCTGAAGCGTGGACCAGTCTTTTCAGTATGGGTTGATGGTTGGTACTCCACAGCTGAGACTTTTTCCTCTTCTGTCCCTTCAATCTTGACATCCCAGCAGCATGGAGATGAGTGTGAGGGGCCTAGAAACCAGAAGCATGGGAACATCGCTTTCTTTCTTGAACAGTGTCCTCGGTCCCCTTTTGGAATGAGATGGACAAGACTGACTCCACTCGAAATTCTGGACTTTCAACCCTAATCATTCATTGCACTGGAAACTCCAACATGCAAGGCCAGCTGTGCAAGTCAGCCCCATGGAGATAGGTCTCTGGGAGCCTAAGCCAGTGTTTTGGGTTCAAAAACATTCAGTAGGAGAACAAGACGTACATATTACTTGCCAACAGAAGAACACGGTTCTTCCATTCAACTGTGTAGCTTTAAAACTATGCCTCAACTGCTCATAAATGCTGCCTTCCACTGCAGCAAGGTGGAGTTTCCATTTTGATATCACCATCTTTCTAGGGACCCCCTCCCCTATGGGATGGTCTTATTCAGACATTTCTTGCCTGTCTCTTGTAGCATCTGGTTTTTACCAAGCTGGTAGAATTTGAACTAGGGGAAATTGTTAACTTCATTTGATCGAGTCAGCCTATGACCCCCCTCCTCCACCAGCCTTGTCTTTCCAGCACAAGGGTTCCAAGGACTCCTATCTGCCTAGCAAGTCAGTCTAGGAATAAAGGAGTCTGAGATGGGCTTACCTGAGCTCTAGGATCTTGAAGGTGAACCCTGAAGCCAGATTCCCATGCACCCCTTCTCTCTCATATGAGGCAGGACCCATCAAGATTCAGAGACTCACCTTGGCACAGAGAGGAGCTTAACGACAGGCCCAGTGCCTCTCTTTCAGGCTCCTTGCAAGTGCTCCAGAGGCATAGCACGCTAGATGTGCAGCTGATGCTGGTGTCTGACCCCAGCCCTCCAGTGTTTTTGCATGGGCCATGGGCTCAGCTTCCACTTCTTCTCCTGCACCTCTCCCCCTCTCCTAAGAAGCATAGGCACACTGAGGCATTAGACTTTTTTTCGGGTGGTCATCCAGGTTGACACACAGGATTTATTCTCCACCCATGAATACTTGGGGAGAAATCAGAGAAGGAGGAAGTTGGTAAGGGGGCAGGAGCAGTGGGGAGTTAAGGACAGAGGTCAGGGACTCACCGAATATGGTAGGGAAGATGCTAATGTTGGAGGCTCAGAAACCCAAGCTTCTTCTGTAGGACTTGGGAAGGAGCTGGTTTGGATTTGGACTCATCATTCCAGGGCTCAGTGTGTGGGATGAGGCAGTGAGAGAAGACAACTGTTTTCTGTACTGTGTTTTAGCCAGAACCCTCCTTGATTTGAGCTTGGTTCTAGCCCTGGCCACAGGCTAACTAGCAGAACTAGCAGACTAACCAAGCTAACCAGGATAACTAGCAGAACTTCTCTTCTCCGGGTGCAGTCTGAATAAAAAGGTCACTGAGTAACCCCTTCTTCAATACCACCAAAATAGTCTTTTGGGAGATGGAATTTCCCAAACTAAAATGCCAGAAAAGTCAAAGGTATAAAATGCTGCATATAGTGCTGAGGAAGTAGTTCAGTGGTAGAGCACCTGCCTAGCAAGTGTGTGGCCCTAGGTTCCATCCTCAGTACCAAAAAGGAAAAAAGAAAAGAAAAAAATAATGCATATAGGGGCCCCACTCACCCCAAAATATCAAGACTGTAACTCCCACTCCCCACAGGAGCAGCAATGAGTGTTTCTGGGTTTCTCAGCCCAGAATTTTCCTGATGGGAAGCTGAGCTGATTCTTTTCCTCCAGATCTCCCTGGAGGTCATCCTGCCCCTAAGGGACCCAACCTTGGTGGCCCAGGGCCTTCTCACTTCTCCCTCCCTGCACCTCTTTCCAGAGCTAGACTGGCTAACAGCCTTGCAAACTCCCCCGGCTACTCTGGGGATCCTAGGAGGACTAGAGGGTCCCAGGTCATCATCCCTGGCTTTGTTCCCAGAGGACCGGAAGCTGTTTGTGGGGATGCTGGGCAAGCAGCAGGGTGAGGAGGACGTCAGACGCCTGTTCCAGCCCTTTGGCCACATTGAGGAGTGCACGGTCCTGCGGAGCCCGGATGGCACCAGTAAAGGTGACCTGAGCTGGCACCTGGGGTTTCCTGGTGACTTTTGCTCACTCTGTGCTGTGTGTCCCTTTGGCCTCTGTGGTTGGAGTCACCTGATCTCTCTCTCCTGCCCAGGCTGTGCCTTTGTGAAGTTCGGGAGCCAAGGTGAAGCCCAGGCGGCCATCCAGGGTCTGCACGGGAGCCAGACCATGGCGGTGAGGCTCGGGCTGGTTGAGGCCAGGGTACGGGATGGGCTCATCTCCCCATGCACTCGTGCGGGGACCTAGGTCATGACTGGATGGGTCAGGACTGTGGCTTCCCTGCCCTGCCTGCCAGGGTGCCTCGTCCAGCCTCGTGGTGAAGCTAGCAGATACTGACCGCGAGCGTGCCCTACGTCGAATGCAGCAGATGGCCGGCCAGCTGGGAGCCCTGCACCCTGCGCCACTGCCCCTTGGGGCCTGTGGCGCCTACACCACTGCGGTAGGTGACCAGCCCTGGGGACAGCTGGCCAGACTGGGGATCCAGGCTGGAGGTGCCCTTGCAGAGACTCCCATGAATACGCCTCTTTCTCCCCCAAGATCCTGCAGCACCAGGCAGCCCTGCTGGCGGCAGCCCAGGGTCCTGGCCTCGGCCCAGTAGCAGCTGTGGCAGCCCAGATGCAGCATGTTGCAGCCTTCAGCCTAGTGGCTGCACCTCTGTTGCCTGCAGCAGGTAGGGGGCCCTGGGATTGAGCTGTAGCTGGGAGGATCAGGTGTTCTGCACCTGACTCAGCCTCCTCTTCCACCATCAACAGCCAACTCCCCACCTGGAGGTGGTCCAGGCACCCTCTCTGGTTTCCCTGGACCCATCGGGGTCAATGGATTCGGCCCCCTGACCGCCCAGACCAACGGGCAGCCGGGCTCTGACACGCTGTACAATAATGGGCTCTCTCCCTACCCAGGTGGGCCACTGAAATGGAGTGGGGAGCCAGGGTGGAGGGGTGGCAAGGGCCCTGGTTCTAGGGAAAAGATTCCCCTCATTTCCCTCCACTCTCCACACTCCCCAAGTCTTTCACTGGGCCCTGCCCACCTGCCTTCACCATGGGCCTGGCCCCTCTCTCCCCAGCCCAGAGCCCTGGTGTGGCTGACCCCCTGCAGCAGGCCTACGCTGGGATGCACCACTATGCAGGTTTCACTGGGCACTGCGCGGGCCTGGGGGGGATGACGGGCCCCAGAAAGGAATAGGGAGATCGTGTGGGGGGCTTAGGCTGTCTTCCTATGACCTGACCTTCCCATCCTGCTCACGCTCAACTCCCCAACAACCCCTCTTGAGGCAAGGGGTATGGTAGACTGGGTTGAATTGGTGACCAGGAAGATGGGGCCCTGCTTTGGGTTGGCTGTGGGGTCAATGCCTACTCCGATCTGTGTCTCCAGCAGCCTATCCATCGGCCTATGCCCCAGTGAGCACAACTTTTCCCCAGCAGCCTTCAGCCCTCCCCCAGCAGCAGAGAGAAGGTGAGGAACTAGGGGTTGGAGATGGGGGCCTGGTGGGGCTGGACCAAGGCCCTCCCCTGAACCAGCCTGCTCCTGTCCCTGCAGGCCCCGAAGGCTGTAACCTCTTCATCTATCACCTGCCTCAGGAGTTTGGGGATGCGGAACTCATACAGACCTTCCTGCCCTTTGGAGCCGTCGTCTCTGCCAAAGTCTTTGTGGATCGTGCCACCAACCAGAGCAAGTGTTTTGGTGAGCTGAGCCCCATCCCTGGGGCTCTTCCTATTCTAGCCGGGCAGACGTTGCCCTACAGACCCTACCTAAGGCAGTGATTTCCAGAGGCTGAATGTATGGCATAAAGTGGGGTCACATTTTAGCCACAGTGATACACTTAGATCAATAACAAGCTTTATTTCAGGTTCATCTGGGAAATTTGGGTATCTAGAAGGTGTTCAAGTGGGTGAGGGCTTTGGAGTTTGGCCAAAGCAGGTGTTGTCTGGTCTGGGACCAGAGATACCTGCAACTGCAACTGCAGTTCTGAGGACCAGACTGGGAGTAGTAGAGGGAGATAGCCAACCTGGGCCACGAAAAGATGGGAACAATCCCAGCCAACACACTGTCCCTTCCCCATATAGCCGCTTCCTGTCCTTCCAAGAATCAAACCTTTGAGAATCTCAGGCGATTCGCCCTTAGGAGTGTGTATCTAGCTCTCTGCCCATGCTCATGCCCATGCATAAACAATGGAGTGGTCTGTTTGATGGAACTGGCCTGGGGATTTTGGAAGATGAGGGGGGTCAGAGAAAGGCAGCCCTACCAGGCAGGATTCCCCACTAACCTCTGTGCCCACACCCCACCTCCCAGGGTTTGTTAGTTTTGACAATCCAACCAGTGCCCAGACTGCTATTCAGGCCATGAATGGCTTTCAAATTGGCATGAAGAGGCTCAAGGTCCAGCTAAAGAGGCCTAAGGATGCCAACCGGCCTTACTGATCTGCTCTCACCAACAGCCACAGAAAGGTGAGTCCCCCTGATGCCAGGCAAGCCCCTCCTAGATTTGACGTGTCTTTGGGGACATTGAAGACACCCACCTCTGGACAGAGAACGTGCCTTTCCTTCAACCGGGGCACTGAGATATATCAGACAGCATTCCAGCCTCCATAACTGGGAAAGGCAATTGCAGCCACATTTAGTTGGTCCTACTCCAGAAAGTACCAGGGAGAGAGAGGCTAGCTATGGAGAGGGGCAGAGGAATGAGGTGTGGGCCAACTCGGGATGGGTCTTGAGGGCCATGTGTTCTGACTTTATACCGAAAGTGGTAGAGAACCACCAAGGGGTTTGAACAAAAAGAGGCAAGATGCATATCTGAGACCATGGCAGTGAACATGCAGATGAGGGGACAGTGACAGACATGCTCAAGAGGGGGACCTGCAGGGTCTGGTGCACGATGGGCAGTGAGATACAAAGTTCTAGGGTTCTATAGGGCCACCAGCCCATAGGAGGCCCACTGCAACTTTTAGCAATGTCCACGTAGGGTCATCTAGATTACCCTGACGTGAGCTGCCGAGGAGCCCTCTGCAGGGCTGTTGGCCGGGGCCATCTGCCCAGGGACCCAGGGCCTGGCTTTGGTGCAACAGGCTGTTCCCAGGAAGAGAGGCCAGGCACTCTCCTGAGCAACTCCGAGAGCGAGAGCGTGCAGGCTGCTTTGGCCTGGCCCTCTGGGCTGACTTTTGCCTTTCCCCTCCCCCCCCCCTTATCAACAAACATCCAAGGGCAGACACTGAAGAGTGAGAAGAAAGGAAAGGAAAAGCACAGAAATGCTGGAGTGGCCCTTCCTAAGGGAGCAGCTGCGGATGGACAGAGGCGGATTGGACCCAAGGCTGGCGCCTGGGGCTCAGGCCACTGGGTGATGGTTCTGATCAAGTGGGTTGTTCTGCGTCTGGCCTGCAGCGGAGCGCTCAGGCCGGCAGAGCAGCCAAGCACCGAGCATTGACTGTGTAGGGGAGCAACCGAGGGCCTGGGGGTGCCAAGGACTTCCCTGCTGGGGGAGCCCAGATTTACTTCTTTCAAAATCATATCATTCCTTAGTTTAGGGACCAAAGGACTACTGCTTTTTTAAGAATATATATATATATATATATATATATATATATATGAATATATATATATGTATATATAAATTAAAGAAACAAAAAAAGAAACATAAGAGAAACAAAAAAGTATAGAGTCTCATAAAAGCTGCCTTTAACTATCCCTAGGAGACAGGGTGAAGGGACCCTTGCTAAGCCCAACCCAGGCAGAGGAGCCTGTGGAAGATCATCCCGTGTCTCATCCCTCCTAAACCATCCCCTTCCCCTTTAAGACCCAGGCTCATCTGCAGGGCACGAGTGCGATATGGAAGCAAGCAGTGAACCCACAATCTACAGCCCCAACTCATAGAGCAGCCCCGAAGAGGTGCTGGGAGGAGTTCAGGCCTGTGTGGCCTTTGTCATCCTGAGTAATCCCCTCGTCAGCAGGAGAGGGGACCTACCTGTCCTTAACAGCCTTCCTGTGGAACCACTGCTTCCCCAACCAGGAAGAAAGGGAGAGGGAGTTGGGGCCACCTGAGCCTTTTCCTTCTAGCCTACATAGACAGAGGCCTTGCCTTTAGCTGAGCTGGGACACTGCCCGTGTCCCCTCCCCTTGAGCCAGCCCCATGTCCCCTTGCTCCAGGCCACCTTCTGTGTCTTAGTTGAAGTTTGTCCACCTGTAGTTTCAAGATTCACATAGAAGGCTGTGACCATAGGTGGGAAGGTTCACAACTGTATATACTGCCATTGAGGAGGGGATCATTTTCACTACATAGAAGCTTCAGAATTAGAGGTCCCTCTTTACCCAGGACCTGGGAGCGAAGTAGATGTTTTGCCAAAATACTTCTTCATTCCTTTAAGAAGTACATCTTTCCTATGCAAGAGTGTCTCCTATGTGCTTACCCAAGGTGGTTCTAGATGGTGAGCAGCGTTTGGCTTAGAAGTGATATGTGCTCTGTCTGTCCGTCTTGTCCGTCTGTTGTATACAGTGGGTGCCATATAAAACTGATCCGTGGTGGTGCTTCCTGCCTGCTTCTGTGAGATGGGCCAAGATTCAGCCTAGAACACCATGATGCACCTTGCTGTGGTCAGCCTTTCTCAGGCCTGCAGGGCCTTGCACATGTTTTACCTGGGGGGGATCATTTCCCTCTTCCCAACAGACATGGATCCACCTAGTCCTGGCCCCAGATGTGTTGGGATCTCTCCAGATGTTGCCGAGGCTGGAGACCTCTGATCTGCCATTGCTCAGATAGCCAAGGATGTGGGGCTGGGGTTGGAGGGTTCTTCCTTCATAATACTTTCTAAGAAAACTTGTTCCCACCTGTTCCTGTCTTTGGCTCATTTTTGGAGGTCATGGGAATGAAGAATAGATAAGACAGTAACACTAGCAGGTAAGGTGCATCATGTGTCCGCAAGCAATTTCCAATCAACAGGGGAGCCAGTGTACACCAAGCCAGTCACGACACACAGACACAGACGTGCATAACACCTGGCCATGAAAACAGACACACACCTGGAGGGACAGAGTCTGCAGTGCCAGATGCCAAGCACTGTGTTAGGTGGTAGGACACAGGCCCCCTGAGGACTGGAATTATGGAGAAAGAGAGACGATCAACACAGTTACGGTGGAGTGTGGCAAAGGTCTGTGCTAGCAAGGAGAGCACCTGGCTATGGCTTTACTCATGGGGAGATCCAAGAAAGACACCAGGAAGGAGGCTGAGGGGGTGGAGTCAGCAAGGACGAACTTGGACATTCGGTCAAAGCCTCTGGGCAACTGCATCATTTTGAAAACATCATTGTTACCAAGAAATAATAATGATTACCATTTATTTTAATGTCTGTCATGGAGCAGATAATGGGCATAGGACAAGACCCCTTTCCCATTCTCAACTCTAACCTGAACCTTCACTCATTACTGAGTCACATCAAGACACTCGAAGCAAAATGGCATTTAAAGTATTTTGTCTCCTACTTTGGGGCAAGCTAGAGACTGGCAGAGTGGACAACTCCCAACCTGCAGGGGCTGGTGTGATCTACATCAAGGGTTGGCAAAATATGGCCTGTGGCTTATTTTTATATGACCTATAAAGAATGGTTTTAACATTTTTTTTTTTGCTTTTTGAGGCAGGGTCTCCCTTTGTAGTTTAGGGTGTCCCTGAACTCACTATGTAGCTCTGGCTGGCCTCGAACTCACAGCGATCCTTCTGCCTCAGCCTCCTGAGTGCTGGGATTACAGACTTGTGCCACCATGCCCAGCTCTGGTTTTTAACACTTTTTAAGGGTTGTCAAAACAAAACAAAAAGAAAATGAGGTAGAGGTCCTGTGTGCTCACAGAACCTAAAATGTTTATCTTGTTCTCTAGACAAAAAGTGTGCTGATTCCTGGTAAGATGGTGGAAGTCACGTTATAATATCTGCGTTTGAACAACATGCTGTTTTTGTCTCTGTGTGTTTATGTATTAGCCTGGCCCTTTCAGTTGCAAGTGGCAACACCCCAATTCAAACAAGTTTAAGCCAGTAGGGTATCAATTGGTTTACATACCTGAGAAGTCAAAGGTTTTATCTGCCTTCAGGCATGGCTAGATCTAGGGGTTCAAGTGAGGACGTCTTCATTTCTGGACTCTGCTTCCTTCTACTTGTTGTTATCTTTTTTTTTTTTGGTACCAGGGATCGAACTTGGGACCTTGTGCTTGCAAGGCAGGCACTAGAACCTCTGAGCTAAATCCCCGGCCCTCTACATGTTGATATACTAGTTTTAGCTGTAAAATCCCAGGGAAGACTTTGGCCAGCTTTGGATATATGCCCACCTTCAGAATGAAAGGCTAGGCCAGCGTAATCGACAATTCACTAGGACTGAGAGGGAGAAAAGAGTCCCTAAATAAAGGGATTATGGCAGATAAGTAACAGGTGTCTATGACATTTCACCCTTTTTGGCACCCACCTGTACTTTTCTTGACAAACACAGTTTTAAAAATGTGTCTGCCCCTCAACACAGTGATGCTAGATCCAGCCAAAACCACATCCTCTTCCTTTCTTGTCTGGGTTTGTTTTTTTAGACAGGATCTCACTATGTTCCTAAGCTGACCTTGAACTTGCTATATAGCCCAGGATGGCCTAAAACTTGGGATTCTTCCGCCTCATCCTCCTAGAGTGCTGGGATTACAGGTGTGTACTACTATGCCTGACTTACTTCTTAACAGGGAACAAAGCAGTTCATATCCAGTTGCTTTATGCAGTCCAGAGACCCTTAGTGATGTGCATTTCTTTTTCTTTTTTTCTGGTACTGCGGATTGAACCCAAGAAGCCCAGAGCTGCATCCTCAGCTTTTTAAATTTTTTTTTTTTTGGTACCGGGGATCAAACTCAGGTCCTTGCACTTGCACAGCAGGCGGCAAAACCACTGAGCTAAATCCCAGGCCAGCTTTTTAAATTTTGAGACAGTGTCTCACTAAATTGTCCAGGCTGGTATCGAACTTGCAACCCTCCTGCCTCAGCCTCCCAAGTAGCTAGGATTACTGGTGTGCACCACCATGGTTGGCCTGTGATGTACAATTCTTGATCAGGTCTGGATGTGACTTCTTAAGATTTTGTAATCTGTGGCTAAAGAATAAATTTATCTATCTTTACATAACCAACATGAAGTAGTAGAGGCAAATAGGGTTACAATTTTTTAAAAACTTCTGTTTGGAATAAGGGAGAAAGAAAATTCTAGACACTGATCCACAAATTAGAACACACCCTCTGAACAGTGCAGTTAAGTTTCTTGGTCAGCAAAGGTGATTAGTGTGGGTCCTTTCCCAGGGCCCAAATCTCTTTCTGGGGAGGACAGTCCTTTCTGGATCGAAGCACCCATTCCCCTTTTGACATGGTTTAGGGAGTACAGATTGCCTTAGAAATTCAGTATCCCTAGATCCTGTTGCCAAAAGTGTATGGGCTCTCTGATTCCTGGGCCCTGTGTGAGTTAGTTAGTAACCACCATCAAGAATCTTGCTGGGTCTTCATCCTTGAGTCTCCATCTAACCCTCAGCAATGATAGTTCATGTCTCTTTGACCATTTGCCCACCCTCAGCTTTGCAGCTTTTGTGATGGCCGTCTCTGGTGGTGCTGCAGAGAGAACTCCCATTCCACTCTTGGCTGACTTGTGCCCCAGTAACCTTGGTGCTGACCCTGAGTGGAACTGGCTGCTGGGTCTCCTCCCCAAGGAGACACTTAGGACAGGGCTGAGGTAACCAAAGAAGCCAGCAACCTATAGCCTTCTCCACTCTTCCCTCTCCAGCCATGGCCTGTTATTACACTGAATTTGGGCCTCTCTAATCACCCCTAGAGCCTATGGACAGTCTTTAGCCTTCAGCAGGGGTCCTAAAGTAAATTTCTCTCTGTCCTCGATGCACATGAGATGTCTCAGATGTAAGGAGAGAAGACCTTTGGTCTAAGATAGGGTTGGTGACCTTGACCTTGGAAGCTGCTCTGGCTGTGCTGTGAACTCTTAGCAGACCTTGAGAGCCCTCCCTCTCCGTGCACAGAATTGTGGGTCACACCCCCACAGGAGGGGCTGTGCATGCTGAGACCCGAGTGTCCTTGAGCCTTTCTAGCTTCAGTTGTAATCTTTGGCCTTCTGCTCACCTGACTTCTGGCCTCCACCACAAAGCTGCCACCCGAATAGGGCCTACTATAGGGACTGCTTTCTTCTCCTTCCACCATATAAAAATATACAAACAGGGCTGGATATGTGTCTTGGTGGTAGAGCTCTTGCTTGCCTAGCAGAGGCAATGCCCCAGGTTCTATCCCCAGCACCACGAAAAGGGGGAGAGCACACATATAAAAAAGTCAGATGTGTATAAGGTAAATTTGGTTCCATGGAAACAAGGATGGGAGAAGTCTATAGCGCTTCCTCCTCAGGGCTCAGGCTGAAATCAGTCCAAGCTGACCTGACTAAGTTAGGAATAGGAAGGAAAGGCAGAGAAGAAGAACTTGCCTGTACCCTATCCAAGTGGAGCTGTCCAAGAGGGACCTTGAAACTCCAGAAGTACAGGATGAAGACACAGGTTTTGGTGTCCCAATCTACAGCAGTGTGTCACACAGTTTGATGTAAACAGAAGACATTTGTTGAAAGGGCACTAGGTGTGTCATGTGGTCGCCAGACGGAGACCCCAGCTTAACAAAGAGGCAGTAACAATGGGAGGTCAGTTTACCAGAGCAAAAGCCAAAATCAGATATGAGAAGTTACCTGGCATTGACAGCACTACTGCAGTTATCACTGGACATGGGATGTCACCACATCCATATCACTGTGGCCCAGGGCTGACCTACTGTGGTCACTGCCCAGGGATGACTTCCCTATGGTTCTGCTTCTCTGAGTCACTCCAGAGTCTAAGCTCCTGGGGCTGGTGGTGTGTGGTTACCTCTTACCTGCATCCAGTGTGTGCCATGGAAGATAGGTTTGGTGTACCTCCAAGACTTTAAACAGACAAAAGGGATTCTGATTCTAAACAGCCTGCTTCATGTGGTGCTTTGGAGGCCACTGGAAAGGTAAGAGGAAAAAAGGGGAGACTGGACTGTTTCTATGTTTAAATAGTAAGTGAAGGACGGGGAGTCTGCTAAGGATGCATGGACAGGCCATACTGAAGAAACTGGAAGAGGGCATCTCACAGGAACCAAGAGAGGAAAGGGTTGCAGAATCAGGATGTTGAATTATGCCAAATGACAATCAAGGGGCCAAATGAGCCTGAAGATTTCCAGGGGACTTGGCAGTTTGGAAATCATTTGTAACTTTGGCAAAAACATTTTCAGTAGAGATTCTGAAAAGAGTCCAGTGGCACTAGAGTTAAGGACTCTGGGAGGCTGAGGCAGGAGGATTTCAAGTTTGAGTCCATCTTAGACAATTTAGTGACTCCATGAGATCCTCTCTCAAAATAAAGGGCTGGGGATGTAGCTCAGTGTGAAGGCCCTGGGTTCAATCTCTGGTGGTGGTGGGAAAGCATAGACATGCGAATGGAAAGTGTAGATTACTCCCAGAAGGGTGGCTGAAGCCAAGAAAAATTAATAGTATGTGGGATTTAAATTGGACTTTTATAAAGGTTGGGCTAGTTGATCAAATTTATATGCTGAGATCAAAGAGCCAGAGAAGAAAATGTTGAATATACATGAAGGAGAGGAGAAAGTGAAGGAGCCAAATTCTTAAAGAGGAAAAAAAGGAGTGAAATAGAGATCACAGTGAAAGGATTCACCTTGGATTTAAAGAGAGACCTCTCCCCTGCAATGGAAAGGATGGGAGAGAGTCAGCATTTGGAGGGGCCAGAAAATAGAGACAGCATCCCCCACCCCGGCCTATACCATGAAGCAGAGTGGAGAGGAGGAGAAACTGACTCTGCGAAAGAACTTCTGGGTACACTGAGAGCCCAGATGCAGGGAGTGTGGATTTGTAGTAGCTCTGTCTTAGGTACAAGATAGTTTAAGCAATTTATTCTAGATAAAGAGGGATTCATACCACCCTGAGATCAGAAGGCCTCTGGAAGGCCCTGGGAATCTGCCAGGACCCAGAGAGCAGTCTTGGAATTTCTTGCCTCTGTCCTCCAGGTGTCATCCTCCTCTGTCTGCAGAGACCCCAGGACACCTGTTCAGCAAAACTGGGGTCAGGGATCCATTCAAAGTTCCATGAACTCCAACCACGGCACCAGGAGTCACACAGGACAAACCTGGCCCTGGGACCTGGAGTGTGGCCATGGAGAATATAATTCCAATGAATGGGTTCGCAGGCTGGATTAAGCTAAAGTGGTGTCTCTTCACAAGCTCAAGTCTGCAGGACTGGGGAATTTCCTTCTTCTTGGTTTGGGATGGAAGAGTAGAAAAGGCAGAGAGCTGAAATGATGCATGTATGTGATTTTTACAGAGTGAGGAGCAAGCACATTAACAAAATTGTCACTGAAGGACTGGCCTAAGGGTCTGAACTGGATAGGAAAACAAATGAAGCCAGGAAGATCCTGGAAACTATGAATCAGCTGAGATCCAGGACGAGTAGCCAAGCTGGTAGTAGAGATACCAGTGGTTAGAGAGGGAGTCCTGGAAAGTTATGGAATTCTGGAGTTTGACCTTTCATCCATGTCACATACCCCCTGCACATACTCCAAGTAGTATGTTCAAACACACTCCCAGACGTGCATGGCTCTCAGAAAACATTGTGGGGCCCTTCATCATGAGTTGTTTTAGGGAACAGGGCCAACTCCTTCTGCACCTGCTCTGAGCTTCTGTACTCTGAAACTTAGCCATGTCCTTCAGTTTTTTCAGTTATTTTAAGTAGTGACCAAGACACAAACTAAAACTGACACAGTATTATGGCTCAGGATGAGTGACAAGGCAAATAGAGAGGGCATCAAAAGGAAAACCAGTCAGAAAGCAGAGGGTATGTACTAACATTAAAAAAAGCATTATTGGGAAATTTCTGATAGGGGTTGGCTGGCTCAGGAGAGATGGATATGGCTTTTTTTTCTTTTCTTTTTGGTGCAGGGCACGGAATCCAGAGGCCCATACATGCTAAACACATACTCTATCACTGAGCTATGCCCCCAGCCCTGCCTGAGTGTTTTCACTCAGGACCAAGGCCTACCTTGTTTCTGTTGTGTCCAGCTAAAAAGAGGGAAGGATAAAGGGAAGTGGATCCATAAGCCTTTTTGCAATAGTACTGATGAAAAAGAGGGCTGTGTGGAACTCTAAGACTGATAAAGATGCAAATTGGGGAGGTCATGTCTAGGGTTAATAACCATAATAACTACAATGACAGGTTTAACCTTTGGACTGCAGATGCCCACAACTTACAGTGGGGTTACATCCCCATTAACCTGTTGTAAGCTGAAATACAGAAAGTTGTAAATGCATTTAGCATGCCTACCTTCTGAACACCATAGCTCAGCAATGCTCCACTGTAGAATATATGTCATTTACCTTCTTGGAGATAGTGTGGGAGATGTTGTAGCTTTATGTGCACAACAGATAGGTGATCTGCTGGCTCTTGGAGACCACAGGGGCATCCTGCTCTCACCGTACTTCCTTGTGTGTGTGTTTTTTTGGGTTTTTTTTGGTACTGGGGATCGAACTCGGGAACTTGCGCTTGCGAGGCAGGCACCAGAACCACTGAGCTAAATCCCCGGCCCTCACCATACTTCCTTAACATCCTAACATGAACCTAAAGAATATGGTCCTGTCCTATAACACTTCCATGACCTCTGCCACGAGCCCAGGCAGTATAAATCCTTTAGAGTAACTGAGGGTGGCCCTACAGTCATCATAATATAACTAGCATTGGGATTTTCATCCCATTCTGGGTCTCTGCTCCTTTGGGCATATAAAGTCAGTAAATCTCCTCCAGACCTGATGGTGGAAGACTCTCAGTTAATTGGACAGAGCCTAGTTAGTTAACACCCTTGGCAACTCCCCACATTGTAGGAAAAGGAAAGCCAACTTTGGGACTCACTGCAGTTGCCATCTCTGGCTGTGCCCACCCTTCATTCTTGAGGGTGAACTGTTTCTTTTTTTTTTTTCCATACTGAGATCGGACTCAGGACCTTGCAAATGCAAGGAAGGTGAGGCACCACTGAGCTAAATCCCTATCCCCTAGGGTGGACTTTTCTTACTATTACCACCTCTGAGCTCCGCCTCCCTGGAATTCTCCCAAGTGCATTTAGCCTCAAAACTAAAACCGCTTGAGTCAAGCATGTTCTTAAGCTTTCTCATCAGCCCACTCCTTCTCTGTGGAGGATTTTTTCCTTTTAATAAATCTCTGCCTTTCTTACTATGTCTGATCAATTCAATGTTCTGGATACAAAGAACCTGGATATTGGGTGGGACAGAGACACCTGTCTGGGGACACTATGGTTGATTGTGTTGCTTTGGCCTCTGTTATACTCCACCAAGAGAGAGACTGTAGTACATATCACTAGCCCAGGAAAAATTCAAAATTCAGAGTATGGTTAAAATTAAGATCATTAAGTCATAAAATTAAGATCATAAAATTAAGTTCGTTAAGTCAAACCTTGTAAATTGGACCATCTGCACTTCCTAGTCCAGGCACTCTGCTTGGTTACCTTAAATGTTTAAATGGTTACTTTGAATCCTATGAAATTACACGTCTTCATTTATATCCTACAAAAATGGCAATTACATAAAGTTAGGTGTCATCTCATTTCACCCTTGCCAGAAGAGCCCTATGAAATAGGTGTCATCGTCTCCACCTCGAAGAGGAGAGAATTAAAACTCTGGAAGTGAGAAGTCTTCTTTTAAGGATGCACAATCAGTAAGTGCTACAACCAAGCTTTGAACCTACAGTGTTTTGTTATTAGACTAGGTGGCTTTCCAGCACTTCAAAGTTACCAAAAGAACAAAGGAGTTATATGTAAGAATTAAAAGATGAGATTCTAGAGTTTACTGTCAGGTAGAGGATCCTTCTCGTCTACAGAGACTACTTGGAGGGTCGTCCCTGCGCATTCTTCCCAACCACAGGAGGCGCCAAACGCAAACATTCTCCTTCCTAAGGCCCTCCGAGCGCCGTAGAACCCCTCTCCTTTCTCCACGCGCCTTCCCCATCTACAGCGCAGGCACCACCCCTGGCTCCAGCTCCCTCCCAGCTAGCGATCAGTGCGCAGACGCCCCAGGGCTGGCGTCGCGGGTGAAGGCGCGCCCAGGCTCAGGTTGCGCGGCGATTGGTTCGGAGATGACACGTGACCTCGGCGGTGCCACGCGAGCGTGCGCAGAGTGGCCCAGCGCGCCCGTGACGGAACGACGAGGCGTGGGGAGCGCGACCTCGCCCGCCCGGCCCGGCCCCCGCCCCTTGGCCTGCCGCTCCGCCCCCGCGGGGCGTCCCGGGCCGCTAGTCTCCTCGGCGTTGGCTGCCCGCGGCCCGGGGTCGCCGTGAGTACTCACGAGGGTGGCCTGTGGGGCGGCCACCATGGGAGACAGGGCGGGGCGTTCGGGATGCGGGTAGGGTGCAGGGTGCGCCCCGCTTCGGCCGAAGGGGATGAAGTGAGGGGCTTGGATACGATGGTCCCGAAGGGCTTGGGCGGCTTTGCTCAGGCCAGGCGCTGGCGGCTCAGATCGGGCACAGAGCTGCTTCCCTGGGGAGGCAGGTGTTGGGTCTCTTTGGGGGTCTCCAGAGGAAACCTCAAAAGCTATAACTGCTTCCCCAAGGGATGCTTCGGGGCCCCTTGAAAGGCGCGGGTGGCAGGCAGAGTGTTTGCAAAACTAGCCCTGTCCTCTTGGTCTACGGGGTTACGGGAGGCAGTGCTGGTCAGCGGGAGTCGCCCCTGGCTGTCTCTTCCCTTTTCTCTGTGTTTAGTCCTGGTTCTTCAGGCACAGGAGCACTCGATATGGAGCCAAGTTGCTCTCTCTCCCAGGACCAAAAAACTGGGAGTCAAGTCTAGACTTCAAACGTTGAGATCCGAGGCTTCTCTGAGTAGGCGTACACTTGTCACATCCAGAAGCGCCCGTGGACCTGGGGAAAAACACCTTTGTGATCCAGACTGGAGGCTTACTTATATTTGGCCAATTCCCATGGAAATAAAATATTCTGTGTAACTTGCCGTTGTCCAAAACGAACACCGAGTTTAACAACACTTTTCTCTTCATATAGTTTATATTTGGCCCAACTTCTTTTGAAAGGTTCCCTTTTTTAAACCTCATTTTGATAAATCAAATAGGCCTTTCTTGCTTAACTCATTAATAATCCCCTAATTAGTTAAAACAGCATCATAGGAAGATTGGATGTATTTAGGTCCAGTCAGATGTTCTTGGTCCATTATACTCCTTAAGTTTCAGGATCTCCCTAGGCCTGAGGATTCTATGTATAACATGAAAGCTTTGAACGAGGTCATCTTTCAGCCGTGTTCTTTTTAAAGACGTCTGATTCTGTGAATTCTGTGATCCACCACCCATCTTTGCCCACTGTCTTCTTACACCCACTCTTCATCTCTCCAAGGAAAGGGCATTGAAAGTAGTAGGAGCAGCCTGGTTTGCCAAAGCTGATAATCTCTGTACTCTGTCTTCCCTAGACAGAAGAACTCCCTCTGAACTACTTTTTTCTCCTTGTTATAGCAGCAGAAACCAAGCAGCAACAGCCATTGGAGAGATGCTAAAGTTTTTCTTAACTGATGTCAACAGTGACAAAGACTTTGAAAAAGTTGCCACTTCTGGCCCGTGCTGCTATCATCCTTCCATTTACCCTTGGACAACCCAGACTGGACATTAGTGCTTCCCTCTTTATTCCTGTGATCTTCCAGATCAGCACTTGACTGTTTATTTTCAAGACTCACAAACTCAGCCCTCAGATCTTCACATTCTGGTTCTCAGCTGCTCTTGAGGTGAATGAAGTACTGGTTTTTAAAATCATTTTGGTGTGATTTTTGTCTATGTGTAAAAATATTTAGGTTCTTATATGTATCTTCCATTTGGCTTAGGTATATAGTTCAGTGTCATATACTCATTCAGTAAACGTGTTATGGGACTGAAAACATAGTCAAAGCCTGAGCTATAGAGCCTACATTCAGATGAGAGATAAACCTGTGTTAGGGTGTGCTAAGTGCTGTGGGGAAAGATAACTCAGGGGAGGGGGATGGAGTGTGCTAGTATGTGTATGTTGGAGAGTTGCTGTTTTACATAGGATGGTCAAGGTGACCTTTGAGCAGAGTATGGCTATCTCTGTGAAAAGCATTCCAAGAGGGAGAACAGCAGAGATAAGAGTTCTGTGATGGAAATATACTGCATTGGAAAAATAGCAAGGACGCAATTGTGGAGTCTTGGGTAATCTTCCTGTTAACATTAATAATTGACCTTTTAGAGAGAGCATCTGACCGAGTGGCCTGATTGAACCCAGAGTTTTGTGCATGCTCACTCTGTCATTGAGCTACATTCCCAGCCCTTTTATTGTTATTGGTCTCCCTGAGTTGCCCAGACTGGCCTCAAACTTGTAGTCTCCTTGCCTTAGGCTCCTGAGTAACAGATTATAGTCATGTTCCACCATGATGACTTTTTTTTCAATCATGAAAATATCCAATTTTACACAAAAAAGAGGGAGTATGAGAAACCCTTATGTACACATCTCTGAGCTTGATCAACATTTTACTACATATATGTCATATGTTTTCCCATTTCCTTTTGTTTTGCCTTCTTTTTTTTGTGCTGCAGTAGTTTTTTAAGGCAGACTCAGATATTAGGTTATTTCATTTTTAAGAACTTCAGTTGCAGTTTACTTTTACATATTGTTTTTGATGGGTCAGGCAACAAACTCAACTGAAGGACAGCTATGCAGAATTTGCAACAAAATTTTAACTTACACCCCTATGCTGGATCACTTACCAGGCTGTGGAACATACATAGGCCACTAGAACATAGTAAGATCTAGAAGAATGGTTCTTAAGTTATGTATTTCTATATTATGTACAATGAGGTACACAGGTATATATGTGTGTGTGTGTGTGTGTGTGTGTGTGTGTGTATGTATATGGTTTTGTTTTTTTTTTGGACAGTCTCATTATGTAGCCAAGGCTGGCCTTGAACTCACAATGATCCACTTGCCTCAACCTCCCTTTTGAGTGCTGGGATCACAGGCATGCGCCACCACACCTGGCAAGGTTCTTAAATTTTATCATGCATCAGAATAACTTGTTAAAAACACAGATTACTGGGTTCCTGAGAATTAGCATCTTTTACAGGTTCTTAGGGGATATTAGTGCTGCAGGCCCACCAATCCCATTCAGAACCACTCATTTAGAAAACTGAGGTTCACGAGAACCATGTTAGGGACCAAGAACACCTCTACTTAAGCTTGGAGTAGGTTAGACTAATTCAAGGGCTGAGGATTTAGCTCAGTGGCACTGTGCCTGCCTCGAAAGTGTAAGGTATTGAGTTCAATCCCTGCTACCAGAAAAAAAAAGGTTGGACTAATACATATGCAGACCCAGGAAGGCCTAGAACAGTGGTTCTTAATTTTGCCACCACACTAAATCAGTTCCATAGCTTTTAACAAATTTGATGCATAGGCTCTACTGTCATGAAATTGTACTCTGGCTATGGGATGGGGCTGTGCACTGGTACATGTTAAAAGATCTTCAGGAAAAGCTCTTTCAGTTAAAAGCTCACAGTATGACATAGCCATGCTTGTGACCTACTGATCTAGAGAGCAACACAAAGCATTTTTACCTTGTTCTTAGGGTGGTGTGGCCATTCTTTATCATCACAGCCTTTATACCTTGGTGGATGAGTATTGTCCCCCATCCCTACCCCTACCCCTCCAGCTCCATGTGGAGGGTACAGTGGGGCTCACAGTTATCTGGCATAGGATGGTGGGTCTTCAGGATTAGAAGCAAGCAAGAGAAAGGGCCAAGAATTAGTGTTCTTCTACACATTTGTTGGGATTGTTATTGTGTTTTTATTTCAAGTGTAGGTTCCAACATACTCCAGAGTAGTATTTTGGCTGTGACAACTCGGACCATGTTTACCAGAGGATATTCAGTTGAGGACTTTGTAAGTTAGATGTGATTTTTGTATAGTGGTTTATAGTAATGTGGGGTTTTTTTTTGTTCTTTTTTTTTTTTTTGGTACCGGGGATTGAACTCGGGTCCTTGCGCTTGCAAAGTACAGTAATGTTAATGTTTTTGTTTTTTGGTTTTTGCAGTACCAGGGATCGAATTCAGGACCTTGAGCTTTCGAGACAGGCACGGTGCCACTGAGCTAAGTCCCCAGCTCAATAATGTTAATGTTTTAATAAGAGATAATGACTCAGTATGAAGAAATAACTAAGAAGAAAGTCCAGAAAGAGTCTGGCTCTGGCTTTTAGCTCTGGTGCAGATTGGTACAATAAAGAATGTTCCAAAATGAACTGATGAGAGAACTTAGCATAAGCATTTGGCCTTGGCACTATCCCTTTTAGCTCTGGGGTGCTTGTAGCATTATGAGATAGAGCAGGGCCTTGCTCCAGTCTTAATTCTCCAGTTTTGTTTTTGTTTCTTGTTGCTTTTGCCATACTGGGGATTGAATCCTAGGCCTCACCATGTGCTAGGCAAGTGCTCTACCTCTGAGCTACATCCCAGCCCTCCAACTCTATAGTTTGAATGGAGCAGCAGTATCTTATGTTTGTATAGTGCTTTCATGGCTATTTAAAGAACTTCATTTAAAAGTGTGTGTGTATGGATGCAAGTATCAGAGAATATGCATAATAAAAGTGTGCTGGTGCATATACCACCCAGCTGTAAGTGGTAATGAAACCAGATATCTGCTTTCCACAGGACAGTGACTTGTTACCACCACCACAGCAGAGCCTACCATCTCCAGCAGATCTTCAGTTGCTCCTGACATCGCTTCTCGGCCTTTTGGCTAAGATCAAGTGCAGTTGCTCCTGACATCACCCCACCTTATCTCCCTCTGTGGCTTCCTAAATGCCCATCTCATTGGCCTGGGTTCAGCTGGTGGTATGGAGGGGTGCTGCCTAGCACTGCTCTGGGAGTGTGTGTGATCCACTGACCCAATGGTGAGAGCCAACTGCCTGCCACCTCAGCTAATTCTCCAAGGAATACAGGCCTCACCTCCTGGTGGTTTCTCTCTTGCCCCCTTGGGAGGTGGAAAGGCTATTGGAAGGAGAAGGGGCACAGAAACAGTATCACTGGGTGTGTGTGCACATGTAGGTGGGTTTTCTTGGGGAGGAAGAGAAGGGTTAAATACTTTCGGTAGCAATTCTCAACCTTTTCGGCACCAGGGACTGGTTTTGTGGAAGATGATTTTTCCACAGATTGGGGGTGAGGGGGTGGTTTAGGAATGATTCAAAGGCTCGTGCTACCTAGATGCCTCACATGCATAGTTCATAATTGGGTTTGTGCTTCTATGAGAATCTGCTGCTGCTAATCTAACAGGAGTTGGAGCTCAGGTGGTAATGTGAGCGCTAGAGAGCAGCTCTAAATATGGTGGAATTTTGCTTGCTGGCTTTCACTTACCTCTTGCTTCGTGGCCCAGTTCCTAATAGTCCATGAACCTGTATTGGTCTGTGGCCCAGGGGCTTGGGGGCCCCTGCTTTAAGGAATAGAAAAGGAGCAAGGAGACGAGAGCTTATAGCTGGAACTGCCTTGGGTAATGATTGTAGAAAAGGCCAGCTTATACTAGAACCCATAACACTTACAAGTCTGCCTTGGCATTTGTACCTGTCCTCCACTGGCTACCAGAGCCTTAGTCATTATACTGAGTCTTAAGTCCAAAATTCCTGTTTTCCTTTGTCCCACCAAGACAGAACTAGGCTTTGAGAAAGTGAAGGGAAAGATTAAGGAGGGATTAAGGCCTCAGTTACTCTATCCTAAGGGACCTTTTCTCATTCTTCGTGGGAATCAATCTCCCATCTTCTTACTTCACCCTGCTCTGTGGAGTAACAGTGACTTAATATAGAATTTTATCTTTATTTCTCATCACCAGGACATCAAAGGCCAGTTCTGGAATGATGATGATTCAGAAGGAGATAATGAATCAGAGGAGTTTCTATATGGAGTTCAGGTGAGGTTCATTTGTCAAGACTCAGATTTCAGATACTCTAGATTTCACTGTCTGAATAGATCAGTAGTGAAAGAAGTCCTGGAGCAAGGATAAGATGAGGATATAGTGGTGTGGTTTGATCCTGGTTTGCTGGAGTTGATCCCATGTCCTTGCTCCTGCCTGGCACTCATACCCATTCCAGAGTAAACTATATGTTCTGTACATGAAGGATACCCATATGTTCTTAGTCAGAAATAATTATTTTCTGACTTCTCTCACTAATCAGTGAGAATCATTTCATTCATTATGGTCAGTTCTTCAAAGATTATTCTCCGCAGGATTGCCTGCTATTGATGCTGTCCAGGACACAGTCCTGAGTAGAAAAACTGACTCCCAGGATGCTTTTCAGTTAGAACCAATATGAGTTAAACTCTGTACTCTTCAGCCTGTTCTAAGTTTTCATAGATCAAGGTCTGAGAGGAAATGCTGGAGATTTGAGGATGTGACCTCCTCAAGCAAGACTTACATTTGGTCTGGTGAAACTCCTTGTGTGGTGATGGGAGGGAGACTTGGGGATGAGCTGCCTAGCTGCCTCCACCACCAGGAACCCTTCAGAGAGCGGCTTTTACTTCTGTGCTACTGCTGTTTGCTTTCTCCTCTTCCTGTTGTCTCTTCTTGTTCTTTTTATTTTCCTCCTTTGTCTCTTTTCCCATCTCTTACCATTTTTTTTCTGCTATCTCAGGGGAGCTGTGCAGCTGACCTGTACCGACACCCACAGCTCGATGCAGACATTGAAGCTGTAAAGGAGATCTACAGTGAGAACTCTGTATCCATCAGGTGGGACTCCACACCAGGGACAGTAGAGGAGCAAGCCTCTTCTTTCTCAGTTATTAATGCTAGGGATTTTTTCTTTTTATGGTGTGATAGGGGATAGATGATGAATTTAATGATAGAAGTTGCTTGGAATACTAGAAGTTCTCTCTTATCCTAAACCTCTGCATGCCAACAATTTCATCTTCAAGATAAGGACTTCTGCCCCAAGACGGCCCTAATCATGAGTGGCTTAGGCTCTGTAACTAAGATCCTAAGAATAGAACCACCTTCCACTCTTCCCTTTCCCCTGTCCCTAGGCTCAGGTTTCCCTCCACCTTAGTCTCTGTGCCCTGCTTTCTGCCTTACTGAGACTCACATGTATTGCCTATATCTTTGTAGAGAATATGGAACTATCGATGACGTGGACATTGACCTCCACATCAACATCAGCTTCCTCGATGTAAGTGGTGCTAGTACCTGACAACAACATGTCTATCTGGACTTGTGGATTTTGTTATGTAGGCCAGGAGTCTTGTTCCTGAGTACTGTATTTGGAGCACATATTCTTCATCTCTGTCTTTCCTAGACCATCAGCAGACAGTGTTGTGTACTGTCATGTGCATGTGTGTGTCATAGAGGCGAAACTCCAAGTCTATTCTTTGTCATAAACTGGAAACTATTTCCCTTATTCTTTTAGGAGGAAGTATCTACAGCCTGGAAAGTCCTCCGGACAGAACCTATTGTGTTGAGGCTGCGATTTTCTCTCTCTCAGTACCTTGATGGACCAGGTAAAAGTAGTGACTTTAGACAAGCTGGTACTGTTTTTTGGGGGTTTTTTTTGGTACCGGGGATCAAACTCGGGACCTTGCGCTTTTGAGGCAGGCAGTGGAACCGCTGAGCTAAATCCCCAGCCTGCAAGCTGGTACTCTTGCTTGTGGTCTTAATGAAGGTGGAGAAAAACTAGGAATAAGATCCTGTGTTTCAGTCTCTCGGTAGGGGTGGTTTCAGTCAGTGTTTTTTTTTTTCAGTCACCTGATAGCCATCTCCTAAAGGCCTTCTTGGTTAATGAAATTGTTTTCTCTGGTTCCCAGATAAATCAGTTATCACGCCCCCCCCCCCAGCTTCCTAATGAGGATATTTGAAATTGATTAGACAGATTGCAGAATCTACCCTCTGCCTCAGAAGTTTTCCCCCACTACCATTATTGTTTAGAGTATCCAGCAGCTACTGTTTTTTTTTTTTTCTTTCTTTCTTTTATTGGTGATCACAAACTCAGGACCTTGCAGTTTTGAGGCAGGTGTGGTGCCACTGAGCTAAATCCCCAGCCAACAGCTACTGTTTTAAGACTCTAAAGAAGCGATTCCAGTGGACTATGATTTTGGACTCCCAAGAGGATAGAGATATGTCCATACAAAGAATTTTGTCTTTTCCTTGCAGAACCATCAATTGAGGTTTTCCAGCCATCGAATAAGGAAGGGTTTGGGCTGGGTCTTCAGTTGAAAAAGTAAGAACTTCTGTCTTTTCGGTTTTGGACATATGAGGGAAAGATGATTGCATGTGTTATCTTTCCATTACTGTGCAAAATACCTGAGATCTTCAGTTTAAAAGAGGGAAAGGTCTATGTGGCTTACAGTTGCAGAGGTTTTAGTTCATGGTCACCTGGGCTTGTTTTGGGGTGTGGCAGCACTGATATGGCAGCAGCATGTGGTGGAGGAAGCCTGTTCACCTTGTGGCTTCTAGGAAGCAAAAAAAAAAAAAAAAAAGAGGAGCTGGGGGCTATGCCCCCAGTAACATGACTTCCTCCCACTAAGACACCTCCTGAAGCTGCTTTGACCTCCCACTGGCCCTGCAGATGGGGACTAGGCCTTCATACGTGGACCTTCGGGGGATGTTCAGGATCCAGACTATAGCAGGACATGTGGATGGATAGACCGAGCTTCTTATAGAGTGTTTCCTTCCAAAATTGTCAAGGTGAAGTCAACTTGAAGAAGTTGAGGATTTACATGAACAGCATAGAATAATGATAGAACCAATCCAGGACAAAGGAAAGGATTGATGAGTCTGACTGGGAGTTGGGAGCCATAAATTTAGGAATATAATTTTTCTCCCAACAGTGTCAGTACTTGTCATGAGCTGTTCTTCTCTATTCACAAAGCAGCATATGATACTCATCCTCATCCCAGCACCTTTGTTCTACTCTCAGTATAGTCATCCCATGTAGTAAATACAGTAAGTCCCCGATTTCTGAACAAGTTCTGTTCTGGGAGAATTGTTTGTAAGTTGGATTCATTTGTAAGCTGACAAGGTGAGTCTTATACAGTACACTTGTGAATTTTGCAACTCCAAAGTTCATAAGTTGGAAACTTACTGTATCACACTCCACAGCTTTTAAAGCCTAACTGTGAGATCTTCCTCTAAAGGCAAAGCATCTCAGAATTGTTCAGGTTATTGGTGAGGATGTGGGGGTGCAAGTTTCCCTCATGTGGTATAAAAGGTGCTTTGGGATAGTCCATTTCCACGTGACGAGGTCTTACCAAGGAAGTCTTCAGACACACACTCCCCCTCCACAATTAGTTTTGCTGTTCTTAGGTCTGAGTTTTAGATTAGTTTCTTTTCTTAGTCCTTATTTCTTGGCCTCCTCTCTGGCTGATCTTGCCTAAGCCTATTTTATGTGATCCCCCAGGATCCTGGGTATGTTCACATCCCAACAATGGAAACACCTAAGCAACGATTTCTTGAAGACCCAGCAGGAGAAGCGGCACAGCTGGTTCAAGGCAAGTGGTACCATCAAGAAGTTTCGAGCTGGCCTCAGCATTTTCTCACCTATCCCCAAGTAAGTGCTTCTCTAGAGCTGATCACTTCTGACCTCCTCAGTTTTGTCACAGCCCCATATTCACCTTCTTGAGTAGCTAATTTAATCTCCATCTTCTTTCTGGGAACTTTAATTCTGAACCTTTAACTACTAATATCACTCATATGGTCCTCTCCCTTTTGTGTCCTTATCCTTCTACTCCTGATCCAGTGTTCATGCCTCATCCCCTTTAAGTAAAACAGAATAATGCCTAGCTCATGGTATGTGTTGGTGACATGTATGAAGGTCTTCTCATCTTTCCTTTCTTTGGCTCTTATCCTTATTCCTTGTCCTAAGAAGGCAGACTCAGAGATCAGGCACCAGCTCCTGGCTTTTTTAAAAGGGTACATTGATATATTGTCTAGATTCTGGAAATAAACATTGCTCCCTTCTTTAATCACTCCCTAGTGCCTTCTGATCTTCTCAAATGCAGACAAAAACCTAGGTTTATAGCCACACAGGCACCATTATTGTCAGACAGTTGATAGTCATTTTAAAAGCACAGCTGTTTCTTGCCTTCTGCAGTGCTTAGCACTTAATCCATTTTGTTCACAACAAAGTAAATGAAACAGGCACCCTCACCACAGGATCATTCCATACCTGGCCTCAGTGACATAATAATCTAGGCTCTGCCTCCACCTCCTTCCATGTCTGGGGTTGAAAAATATACAGACAGTGATGCAGTTATGTTGTTGTTGTTTGTTGGTTTGTTTTTAGTGTTTTGAGACAGGGTCTTACTATGCCTTTCAGGCTGGCCTTGAATTTCCAGTGATCCTCCTGCCTCAGCCTCCCAAGGGCTGAGATTACAGGCATGCACCACCACGCCTAGTTTATATTGTTTTGTTGACAGTGTTTAAAATCATTCCTCAGATTGGAGTTTGTTTTTGTCTTAGATTTTGGGCCTAGGACTTACCTCCAATTCCCTTCTAGGACAAACACTGACTCCAGTTTTGTAGCTTTTTTCCTTTTGTTCTCTCTCCCCAGGTCTCCCAGTTTCCCTATCATTCAGGACTCCATGCTGAAGGGCAAACTGGGTGTACCAGAGCTTCGAGTTGGACGCCTCATGAACCGTTCTATCTCATGCACCGTGAAGAACCCCAAAGTAGAGGTGTTTGGCTACCCTCCCAGCCCCCAGGCAGGTCTCCTGTGCCCCCAGCACGCGGGCCTCCCTCCCCCAGCACGGACCTCTCCTTTGGTACATGGGCTGGGGAGGGTTTGCTTGGGCACCAGGAGGATGGGAGTGGAAATGTGGGAGCTTAGCTTTTGAAAATGAGTGGTTGTGTGGCTGTCTGGGCATTGTAAGTCAGTCCTAGACATATACCCTGAGTGGGTAGAATGGAACATGTTTTCTTAATATCTGAAAACTTACTTTGAAACTGACTGGCTCTCTGGTAGCAGCCTTTGAAGCAGAAAATCTGGAGGTGGTTATCCTACAGAGAAACTGTATAATTTCACTAGGTTATGGTTAGAACTTGGTAGTCAGCTGCTCTGCGAACCTATCCTGTCTTCTTTTTTTTTTTTTGGTACCAGGGATTGAACTTGGGTCTTCGTGTTTGCGCAGCAGGCTGTGAAACCACTGAACTAAATCCCCGGCCCCTAGGCTCCTATCCTCTCTTCTTTTAAGAAGGTTAAGGAAGGCTGGGGATTTAGCTCAGTGGTTTCATCGCCTGCTGCGCAAGCGCAAGGACCTGAGTTCAATCCGTGGTACCAGAAAAGAAAAAAAAAGAAGGTTAAGGACAGTTGAGCACTTTCCCAGAATCTCTGACACAAATGTTTGAAAATCTTCTCTGGGATTCCTTAGGCTGATTTGAGCTAGGGGTTTGCTAGTTTAGGAGAATCATGAGTGGTGGGAGACAGAGAGAGAGAGATCTGTCTGGGCCCTGACTTCATAGGAGACTCATGAGGCTTGTCTTTCATATTTGTCAGGTTAGTGGTCACTGCAAGAACATCCCCACTCTGGAGTATGGATTCCTCGTCCAGGTAAGCAAGTCCATGGTTTTGCGCCAAGGCGCCTCCCATTGTCTAGCCTGTCTGATACCCTGAGACCTCCCAGCTCCTCACTTGCTTTGCTCCCAGAACTATGCTAAGTGTTGAGTGGACGGGAGAGAAGAAGGCACAGTTCCATCCTGAAGACACAGTGTTAGTGGGAACGTGTCAGAGGGAACACTTAGGGTTAGAGCAAGCAAGGCACTGCAAATGTTAAGCATGTGGTGTTGAGATGAGCGGGGGATTAATACTAGTTTCCTTGGGATCCCAAACATCACTTACCCAAGTGGTCTTTAGTTTTCCTCACAGGCCACTGTCACTGCTCATCTACTACTGGTCATAGCTTCTTTTTAAAGTTGCTTTATTCCTTTGCTAACTTTCACTGTCTCTCTGCATTACTTTTGTCCTGGGCTTCCTCCCAGGTCTGCCCAGTGCAGTCCAGGCTCAGACACTGCCTTTTCCGTAAAATCTCCACCGCTCCAGCTGGACTGGCTGGATGTGACCTCTCCCTCACTGACCTTGTGTGATGCTTTTTGTTCATGCACCAATGTGTCACATACCATGTGCTACCTTAGATTGTAAGTAATTTGTGTACATGCCACATCTCCACTTGGAGTTTAGCATCTGAGAGGATAAAAGATAACTTTTATGTATCGCATAGTCAAGAAGACCCTTTTTTTTTTTCTAAGAAGACCTACAGAACTAAATACATAGTAAACATTTGGTAAATCTTCATTAAATAAGTTCATAAAACCCCTTGCAGGTCCCATTAACATCCCAAAAGCATGTGAAGTGGGAGCAACCTGATATCAAAGCCATTTTGAGGGGATGTCAAAACAAAGACTTCTGGATATTGCTGTATGAGCTCTAGTTTTGTGCCATCTTCCCAGCACAGAATTGTGTCTGGTTTTGACCAGGGGGCTGGCTAATAGTTCTAGGGGGTTGAAATGGCCTATCCCTGTCCTCCTTACCCCATCTGATCTTGGACTGAATACTCACTTACCCTGAAGGGATGCTGTGTAATTACTACAGCTGTGGTCAGTAGTTTGATTAGCATCTCTTAATGTTTGTAAAATATCTTTATGACCATAATCTTTTTTTTTTTTTTTTTTTTTTATATACTGGGGATTGAACTTGGGACCTTCCTCTTGCAAGACAGGCGGAGGAACCACTGAGCTAAATCCCCGACCCCTTGAACTAAGTAGTATAGATGAGATACTAACCCAGGACTTCTAAATCAAAGGCTACAGCTCTTCTTATTTTTCTCAAACTGTACAGACTTAGCTATGCAGTCAGTCAGGACATTAGTTTAACCCTGTACTAGGCTCAAGAATAATAGATCCTGCCTTAGGCAGTGGGCTAGAAGAGAGCAACGTAGGCAGAAAAGAAGCTTAAATTATTTCCTGTGTCTCAACAACAAGTAGTTCCTGTATCTGTGCCTGAATTTCCAAAAGACAGAATCTGCTCTCTCTGCAGATCATGAAGTACGCGGAGCAGAGGATCCCAACGCTGAATGAGTACTGTGTGGTGTGCGATGAGCAGCATGTCTTCCAGAATGGGTCCATGCTCAAGGTGTGGCCCCTGCCCAGTGACCCTTCTCTGTGCTCAGGACCCCTTACTTCTCATCTCTCCTTTCTTCCCAGGAAAGGATTCTGTCCATACTCCCTGAGATATTAGAAGTAATTATTTTCCTAGAAGACAAGTCTCACCTGTCCTGTTATGAGAGATGAGAATAGTTTTGGGGACAGTTGATTCCATATGGTGGTGGCCTCAGGTGTCCAAGTCAGGGTGGGTAACTGTAAGTCATACTATGTTAAATACCTAGAAGAGATGGAGCAGTGTTGTGGAAACTCAGAAGAAAGCCTCTGACTGCCTAAAAGGGAAGGCTTACAGGCAGACAGTTTAGCTTACAGATTTACCCATAAAGATTTCAAGGAAAGATTCACTCACTGATAGTATCCTCCTGGTATGCAGGGCCTCGTATTCCTTCCTTGTTCTAGATAAGGTCTGGGGCCTTGTCTCCCTGCAGCTCACACCCTCACTGTCTGTTGAATGTGTTCATCTAGCCGGCTGTCTGTACTCGGGAACTATGTGTCTTCTCCTTCTACACCCTGGGGGTCATGTCTGGAGCTGCAGAGGACGTGGCTACTGGAGCAGAGGTATGGGAATTGGGATCCAGAAAGGCAGGGCAAGCCAGGTGTGGTGACACATGCCTGTAATTCCAGCACTTAGAAGGCTGAGGCAAGAAGATTGCTATGGGTTTGAGGCCATCCTGGGCTACATAGTGAGTTCAAGTGCAGCCTGAATTACATAGTGAGACCCTGTCTCAAAAAACAAAAACAGAACAAAACAAAAAACCAAAAAGCAAATACAGAACCTGGCTTGGTAGAGCAGCCCTGTCATCCTAGCTGCGTGGGAGGCTGAAGTAGAATTACTTGATGGCAGGAGTTACACATGTGTAGCATGGATGAATCCTGGCCTCAATGTCCAGCAGGAAGGAAGGGAAGGGAGGGAGACAAGGAGAGAGATATTTGGGAGGTGATATTTATCTTTCATTACTTGGCTGCTCCTTGACTTTTTATAATAAACTTGTATTTTCTAATTAAAAGCCACAGAAATATTTGATTTTAGAAGCAGCAGCAGGGAGAAACACTAGGCACCACGGGACCTGCAAAATTGAGCATCCTTTAGCTCTATCCCTGTCCTTTGCTTTCCTCTCAGGTGGTGGACTTGCTGGTGGCCATGTGTAGGGCAGCTCTGGAGTCCCCAAGAAAGAGCATCATCTTTGAGCCTTACCCCTCCGTGGTGGACCCCACTGATCCCAAGACTCTGGCCTTTAACCCTAAGGTACAGTTGCTCGAGAACAAGTCAGGGCTGAGGAACAGAGATGGTGAGAGAGAGTAGGATACTACAGACTGTCACTGCCTTGTACACAAGAGCTTGGCATGAGGGTCAGGAGAGATGGGGCATTTCCCTGTTTCTTGAGAACTCTTGATCCCAGCATTTAGTTATTTCAGTGAACAAATAGCTGAGTTTGTCTAAAGAAAGCAGAAAAATTAACATCTGTTACATCCTGATGGGAAGAATGTAGGCTTTGGTGCAGTCCGACATGGATTCCAAATGAGGTTCTTATGCTCCCTAGTTGAATGATGTTAGGGAAGCTGCTTAACTTCTGAACTTCAGTGTCCTTACCTGTAAAGGGGATTGTTATAAAATTAAGGAATAATCTGTAAAATGTCGGACTAGTGTTCTCCAGAGAAAAAGAACAAATAGATTATAAAAGATAAATGGAAGTATTTATATTTATAGCTCTGGATAGTGTGTTGTTCAACCGGGAGATAACCCAAGTCTTCTGCCCTCTGCCTGGCCAGCTCAAATATAAGTATTTTATAATCTTCCTTGTGTTTCTCTGGAGAAAACACACACAAGTATATACACATATGTATGCACACCCATGTACATATATATGTATATGATGGAGAGAAAGAGGCTTGTTATAAGGAGTTGCCCCACATGATGATGGAGGCTCAGAAGTCCCACAGTCTGCAGTCAGCAAGCTGGTGTTCTTGGAGAGCTTGTGGTGTGTATGGTTCCAGTCCCAATCCAGAGCCCCGAGAACCAGGAGAGCCAGTGCTATAACACATTCACAATGGGGCTGTAATCCTAATGTCTCGTTGCTAGATGACTTGAACCACCAGTGGTGCGTGCACGACTGTCCCATGCATGACTGCCCCACTTCCACCCCAGTGGATAGTCATGTTTGTACCAGTGGTGGTTTAAGCCAGCAGGAACATGGTAAGTTCTAGTCCAAGAGCCAAAAGCTCAAGACCCACAAAGAATCAGTTTTGTAGTTTCATTTCAAAAGCAGGAAAAGGCTGATATGAAACTCAAACAGTGAGGAGGAGAACCCTTTTACTCAAGAGCAAGATGCAGTGAGGTTAGCCTTTTGTTCTCTTCACATCTGTGGTTGACTAGATGAGATCCTTCCACATTAGGGAGGGCAGTCTGCTGATTGCATGTGAATCTGAACCAAGAACACCCTCAGAGACACACCCAGAAATCATGTTTGGCCAAACATGTAGGTAACCGTGGCCTCGTCAGGTTGACTGTTGAAATTAATCATGATGTCCTTACTGTGTATCAGGCACCACACTAGGTTTTTTATATACATTATTTAATCCTCAGAACATTCCTTTGAGGTGTTAGGAATTGTTATTTACATTTGCAAATGGGGCTGGAATGTAGTTCAGTGGTAGCTTGTCTAGCATGCAAAAATAAACACAAGCAAAAAAAATTACCATCTTTTGCAAGCAGAGATGCTAAGGTTCTAAGAGTGGAATAATGTGCCCCTTTACTTCCGACTGGTAAGAGACTTGGCACTTGATCCAGAACTGACATTGAATCTGTCTTTCTATAGCATACTGCTCTACTTCCTTGAGCCTAGACTTCTTTTGTACACCTTACCCTCTTTTTCTTCACATCCTTCTCTGACCTCTACTTTTGTTCACATGGTTCTTTTCCCATTGATTCTCTACAGAAGAAGAATTATGAGCGGCTTCAGAAAGCTCTGGATAGTGTGATGTCCATCAGGGAGATGACCCAGGTACTCTGCCATCTGTGTGTCCCCCAGCCTGTGCCTGCCCAGTTCAAGTTCCGTATTCTGTTTGTAATTTGTGGATGTAGGACTTAGAGAAGCTATTCAAATTCCTGTGTTTCTTTAGTATTGCCTGTAACCTTCCCGGTTTTTGTTTTTTGTTTTGTTAGCTCTTACTCTTTAATTCTCTTCCCTCTAGTGCTTTTTTCAACCTTTACCTTTGCTGTTAATTTCTTACTGTTAAATTTTTATATTTAATGTTCTTGTATAATTCTTTGGGAATTAGGGAAATGAGGAAGAGACTTCTGCCCAAGGTTGGGGGGGGGGTGGCGAGGGGGATTTGGAAGTAAGGAATGAGGCCCCGAAGGCCTGTATATTCTGTCCTTTCAGGGGTGGGGCAGCCCCTTGGAGCAGTGCCCATCCTTTGACTCAAGACTGTCCCTCAGCAGACCCCCACCTTGTCTGCAGTCTCTGTATGAGTAGACACTCATTTGTACTCAGGTTTACAGGTGGGCCTCTCCTCAGCAAATCCTAGGCATTGTAGTTCAGAGTAGCACCTGATGCCCTCCTTGGAGGCAGGATTTATTTGTCCAAAGGACTCTACTTTATGTAAAGATTTACCACAGGATTCTCCTTGCCCTAATCTTTCTGGGACATTGATTTTATTTATTTTTTGATTTACAATCAACTTTTTAGGGCTGTAGGAATTGCATACAATGAGGGAGACCCACCTGCATGTTGTTTTGTAAGCATCTTCAGTCATTTTCATATTTACTTATGATTCCCAACCTGACTGGGCTCCTTGAGGGTGGAAGCCGCATGTCCTCTGTCCTCCATGTGGCCCTCAATGCCTGTCTTACCTGGACCCTGCGAGTCTATGCAAAGTGGGAGGGCTCCTGCTAGGAGATAATTTTATGGCTGTTGTCTTACAGGGTTCATACTTGGAAATCAAGAAGCAGATGGACAAACTGGACCCCCTGGCCCATCCTCTCCTGCAGTGGTATGGATAGAATGGATCAGCCTTCTGGGGTTCCAAGAGGGAGGGAGAAATTGGATTTGGAGCCAGCTTCTTCTCCCAGAGACGGTTCCACATCCTTCAAGGTTGCAGACATGGTTTTCCAGAGTTTTCTTGGAGTTCTGCTGTTGATATACTTTGCCTTGACAAGAATTCAGGTCCTACAAAGAGCTCACAAATTCTCACCTGATTTCTCAAGTTCTCTTTTAAGTATTCCATGTTTCCCAAAAGGTTTGTTTGTTTTCTCAGTTTTTTAATAGACAAATAAAAATTGTATATATTTGTCATGTACAACGTGACATTTTGAAATATGTGTATATTGTGGAGTGGCTCCGTAGAACTGATTAACGTATTCATTGCTTCACTCCACTGTTTTTTGTAGTAAGAATACTTAAGATGACCCTCATCCCCACCTTTTTTTTTTTTTGAGACTGGGTCTCACTGTGTAGTTCAGACTATCCTTGAACTTTGCAGTGATCCTTCTCCCTCAACCTCCCAAGTGGGATTACAGGCATGTACCACCATGCCCTGCTAGTTTTCAAGAAAATAAAACATTATCATTAACTATAGTCACCACCAGTGCATTTTTTTTTTGTACCAGGGATCGAACTCGGGATCTTGCGCTTGTGAGGCAGGCACTAGAACCACTGAGCTACATCCCTGGCCCAACCACCAGTGCATTTTTGAGAGTCCCTTGCACGCAGGAATTAGTGCTATTCATTACAGCTAAGTCTCCTGTACATCCAGAGAGATATGTCTTGTTTTCAAGCTGGCCTCTCTTCCTAGTTAGCCTTTGTAGCAGGGTTTCTCAGTGCCACAGCTTCCTCCCTCTCAGTGTGAGGACAGAGCTGGCACTGACAGTCCGGGGATCATGAGAACATGAATGAGACCCAAGAAAGAAACTCCCTTGCAGGAGCTAGTGTTGTCTTTGGGCCCTCTGTGTGTTATGCCTTAGTTTTCCCCTGTCCTCCCTGTTCAGCTGTATAGCCGAGTCTGTCCCTTACTCCTCAGGAAGTTCATTGTATTGATAAGTCTTATCTTCTAAAAGGATTTTGGATTTTTTTTTTTTTTTTTTTTTGGCTTTTTGAGGCAGAGTCTCCCTTTGTAGTTCAGGCTGGCCCTGAACTCACTGTGTAGCCCAGGCTGGCCTTGAACTCTAGGGGATCCTCCTGCCTCAGCCTGCCAAGTGCTGGGATTACAGGCATGTGCCACCATGCCTGGGAGGAAGTTCATTCTAGTTTCTTCTTTCTCTTTCTCCAGCCTAGATGGTAACTCTCTTTCTAATCCTCCCCTTCCCTGAGAGTCCAGGCAGGAAACTTCCACAACCCATTTCTTTATTCTTTATTTTTATTTCTTTTTTGGTTCCGGGGATCGAACTCACATCCTTGCGCTTATGCAGCAGGTGGGGAAACCACTGAGATAAATCCCCGGCCCCCCACAACCCATTTCTCCATAGACTCCAAGTGCAAGTTGTCTCCATCCTAAATCACACCTTTCCTTTCTACTTTTAAAAAAAATTTATTATTTTTTTTCCCGTTACCAGGTATGGAACTCAGGACCTTGTGCTTGCCAGGCAGGCGTGGTGCCACTAAGCTATATCCCTTTTCCTCTACCTTTAAAAATTTTTTTAAATTTTATTTATTTTGGTACTGGGGCTCGAATTCGGGTCCTTGTGCTTGCGCAGCAGGTGGCAAAACCACTGAGCTAAATCCCCAGCCCCCTCTACCTTTTTTTAAAAATAGGTGACTTTTTTTTTTTTTTTGAGAGAGGGCCTTACTAGGAAGTTCAGGCTGGCCTTGAACTCACTATGTAGCCCAGGTTGGCCTTGAACTCAAGACAATCCTCCTGCCTCAGCATCCAGTGTGCTAGGATTACAGGTGTGTGCCACTACACCTGGCTAATAGGTGAGTTCTTGACTCTTCCTTCTGTTCCATCTTTTGTCTCCCTGGATGTAGCAGCCCACCTCCTACCTTTGCCTTTCACTCATTGTTTTAACTCCCCGGTAGCTAGCTGACCTTTGGTCAGTAGGTTCCCCTTTAAATTTTGTAAACAAGTGTTGTCACTCAGAAAGGCTCTCCAGATAGTGACCTGGTCATGTCACATGGTTCAGACAGCCCAGGAACTCCTGCTTATTCTCCCATGGTCAGAGAAGGTTCTCGTTCAGGGCAGTCTAACTACACACTCACTCTCCCCTTTCCCTTTTGTCTCTGTCTCTTCCCAGGATCATCTCTAGCAACAGGTCACACATTGTCAAACTACCTCTCAGCAGGGTAAGTGCTGAGCTCCCTCTAAATTCTCCAAGTTTCTGGAGATGGGAGGGTGGGGCTCCAAGACAGCCTACCACACTGGTCCTAGATCTGCCTGCCTGGCTCTGTCCATGGCAGAGTCTGTGGGCCTCCCATGTTTCCCTTGTTTGGGGTCAGTGCCAGCCTGATTTGTTCCCTCTCCCCACCCTTCCTTCCCTGATCTCGATTTCCACTCTGTTTCCCTGGCCCCGCCCCACCCTGGGCAGCAGCTGAAGTTCATGCACACCTCACACCAGTTCCTCCTGCTGAGCAGCCCTCCGGCCAAGGAGGCTCGGTTCCGGACTGCCAAGAAGCTCTACGGCAGCACTTTCGCCTTCCAGTGAGGAGGGGAGGGTGGGCAGCTGCGGGAAGGGCAAGTGGGGTCCTGGAGTTGTTGAGTGTGTGACACGCTTGTGTCAGTCACCTAGTTGGTGAGGAGTTAGGAAGTGGTGTTGTGGTAGGTGCTGTAGAGGATGAAAAGATTGCATGGCATGGTCTTTATTTTCAAGCTTTCACAGTTGAAGAGAAATGACATTTACATGTGAAAAGAGGGAATTGAAACAGATTGGAAGGGATAGATTTGAAGGCTTATTTGAAAGGAAATCCACAATTTATGCTTAATTTTGGGAGGGAAGAGAAAAAAAGGTATTAAAGATAACTCCGAGTGGTAATACAGGCTCCTTAAAATAAAACGTGAGGTTAGGACTGGAAGCCATATTTGGGGGCAGTGATAAGTTCGGATAGTTTGAGTTGAAATTGTTGGATTTGAAATATTAAGACAACAGCCAGATGAAGACACTGAACCAGCAGTTGAGGATAAGTATGTGATTCGCTGAAGAGCAGTAGAGATGGCACTGGTGTTGAAGATGTGGGGTTTAACCACATGTGCACACGCAACCTGCATGCTGTGACTGCATCCCTGTGCATGTGCATTGCTAGGTAGATCTGTGTGGGTTAGGATGGATGGGAGTGGCCGTCTTGAATTGCTGCTGGGAGCCTCTCACCGAGAGGAGGCCTGTGTTCTGCCCTGCCTTGCAGTGGGTCCCACATTGAGAACTGGCATTCGATCCTGCGCAATGGGCTGGTCAATGCGTCCTACACCAAACTGCAGGTGAGGCTGTACCCCTTCTCTGCTCCCTCCCAGCCCCCTTGCTTGGGAGGTTGCTCTAGAATACTCAAGTGGTTTTGCCTCAATGCCCTCCACCCGAGCCTTTTTTTTTTTTTTGGTACTGGGGATCGAACTTGGGTCCTTGTGCTTGCGCAGCAGGCGGCGAAACCGCTGAGCTAAATCCCGGGCTCCAACCCTAGCCTATCTTGGGAGCTTCCCTAGAGAGGAAGTTGGAGTTGGATGTGACTTCTGTGTTTGAATGTGGGATGTATGTCTCGGTGGTGTTGGGAGTGGGTACTTACCTGTAGGCAGGAATGAGGACTTGCTGACTGCAGCCACTGTGATGAATTCACCTATTACAAAGACCTTTTATCTTCCATGAGTACTTGTGCTTTCCCCCGGGAGACTGCAAGAAGCAGGGCTTCTTTCTCCTGGTTCCCTGGTCTGTAGTTCCTTTGTTAAGGAATCTGCATGTGCGCCAGGGCCTGGGGACCAGGAATGTGGGTGCTACAGGACTGACTGCCCTGCCACTCCCATGCTAGGATTTCCTAGGCAAGCAGTGTAACCTGAATCCACTTTGTATACAACCCATGTTGCAACTGTAGGTGCCTGTAGTATTTGAGAAGGTAGTTGGAGGGACAGAGGACTGGATAAACCCTGTGGTTGCCTAATAGACAGCCATGGGTGGGCCCAGGCTCATATGTTCATCCTGGTGTTTCCCTGCAAGCTGCATGGAGCAGCCTATGGCAAAGGCATCTACCTGAGCCCCATCTCCAGTATTTCCTTTGGATACTCAGGTAAGAAATAACGCTCTGGGCACGTGACTGTATTTACATTGCATCCATTTGTGAACACATGACGTGTGCTGTCTGCTTCTCTCCATTGTGGATACTGTTCAGTCTCAGCCCTCTCCCCAGCTGTGGATACATAATCTGTCTTTTTCCACTTTCTTCAGGAGTTTAGATTCTTTATGCTGTAAGGCCAGTTATTCTTATAAATGGTAGTTTTGTTCATTGTAGGGGCTTGGCCTTGAAAAAGGTTTAAGGAACAACTGGAAAGTTAAATGAGGCTTTTAGTAAACCACATTTTTTGTATTGGCAGTTAAAGATTGTATGTGTGCATGTGAATTTATGTGTGGAGACACGGGAAGGCTTGGGTCCTTTGTATTGGCTTGTATTTCTGAAGATGTTCTTTCTCTCAGCTACCTTTTAAAATTTAAACTGAGCCAGACATGATGTGTAGGCCTATAATCTCAGTACTCCAGGAGGCTGAGGCAGGAAGATCACAAGTTTGAACCCAGCTCGGGCAACTTAGTGACTTGGTGAGACCTTGTCTCAAAATAAAAAATAATGGCTGAGGATGTAGCACAGTGCAAAAGGTCCTGGGTTCAGTTCCCAGAACAATAAGCAATCAGTCAATCAATAAAATTTATACTGTGTATAATTGAATATTACAATTTTCACATTGAATGAAAAGACGTTTTATCCCAAAGATAAGACATAAACAAGGTTCAGATTCTAGTGAGATGAGTGCAGCATTTTCTACCTTAGGAAAGGAATCTGGTTAGAACTTTCTCCTTCCAGGTTCATGTTTTATTTATTTATTTATTTGTACCGGGGATTGAACTTGGAACCTTGCACTTGCGAGGCAGGCAGCAGCACCACTGAGCTAAATCCCCAGCCCAAAGTTCATGTTTTAGCACCTTTTTAGTCTGCTTTTTTTTCTTGTCCAACGTCATCAGTATGTCTACATGATGAAAGCAGTTGTACTAGGTTCCCTATAGATGATTTAGTATTATTTGGTAATTTTATAGCTATTATAAAGATAAGAAAACTTACGGGTAGAATCATAGAATTAGAAGTCTCTAACAATAGAACAGAGCAAAGGAGAGAAAGGAGACGATATAAGTCAAAACAAAAATCAAGGAAATAATAACATACAATAAATAGCAATAAAGAGAAAGGATTTTTTTTTTTTGGTACTGGGGATTGAACTCAGGACCTTGTCCTGGCGAGGCAGGCGGCAGCACCACTGAACTAAATCCCTGGCCCTAAAAGATGATTCTTTTAAAGAACTAGCAAAAAAGATGAATCCTGATTCGATTAATAAAGGGGCACAGGGACTGGGGATGTAGCTCAGGGGTGCTGTCCCTGCCTGACAAGCCCAATGTCCTGAGTTTGATAACTGGTACCATAAATAAATAAATAAATAAATAAATAAATAAATGAAGGGGCACAAACAAATAGTATGAATAGCTGAGCTATGGCACATGCCTATAATCCCAGCTATCACGAGGCTGAGGCAGGAGTATCACAAGTTTAACACCAGTTTGGGCAACTTGGGTCTCCAAAAAATTTTTTTCAGTATATGTTTGCAATATAAAATATGTTCATCACAGGGAATTGGTACCTATACATACTACATCTTCATCCTTTCTACTTCCCCTGGTGTTAAATTTTCTTTTTAAAGAGCTAAGGATGTAGTTCAGTGGTAGAGCATTTGTCTAAGATGTGCATGGCGCCAGGTCAATCCCTAGTACCTCCAAAAAAAAAAGAAAAAAATATAAGTACAGGTATGTCAAAATTTTAAAACCAAGAGAACTCTATAAACTTTATACCAGTAATTTGAAAACTTAGAATGAATTCATAGAAAAATATAACGTAATAAAACTCCAAAAAGAAGTTAAAAGCTTAAATGGCCATAAAACTAGAAGAAATTAAAATAAAACAATAAATAGCTAGATGTGGTAGCTCACACCTTTAATACCAGCACTTGGGAGTGTGAAGCAGGAGGATCGCAGTGAATAGGGGCCAACCTGGGAGATGTAGTGAGTTCAAAGCCAGCCTGAACTACAAAGCAAGACCCTGTTTCAGAGAAAACAAACCAAGCCCAGACAGCTGAGCTTTCTGGGTTTTTCGGGGTGGGGGGTTGTTTTTTTTGAGATGGGGTCTGGCTGTGTAGTTCAGGGTGGCTTTGAACTCATTATGTAACCCAGACTGGCCTTGAACGCAATGATCCTCCTGCGTCAGCCTCCTGAGTGCCCGGATTACAGGTATGTGCCACCATGCTGAGCTTTCCTGATCTTCATTTCAACAGCTGGTCCTGAGAATTGAATCCAGGGCCATGAGTCTACTGGGTAAACACTCTACCTCTGAGCTATGGTATCGGCACCCAGTTAGTTAGTTTTATTTATTTTTGTTTTCTTTTTTGATGGCCTCACTATGTAGTTCCGGCTGGTCTTGAACTCAAAATGTAGCCAATGCTGAGTTTGATCCTCCTGCCTCAGCCTCTGGAGTACTGAGATTATAGACATGTGCCACCACGCCTGGCTAGTACCCAGTTAGCTTTATAAGTGAGTCTTAAACCAAACTTTCAAGGAACAATAGTCTAATCTCATACAAAATATTCCAGAGGACAGAAAAAGATGGAATTACAGTATACATTATGAAAGATTGGTATGACTTTATTAAAACTAAAAACATAGGGCCTGGGCATTTAGCCCAGTGACACAGCACCTGTCTGGCAAGCATGAGGTCCTGAGCTTGATCCCCAGTACCAAAAACAAAACTAAAAACTTCCTTGTATTTTAAAAATTCTTACAAATCTGTAAGAAAGGGACAGCCTATTGGAAAAACAAGCAAGTTGCATTCAAGTATTTTCCTGAAGAAGTGACCCACAGAACGTGAAAAGCTGCTCAACCTCTATTTATAGGAAAATCAAATCAAGACCAAAATGACTTACTGACTGAGTTGTAAATCATCAGGATCTCTAGTAATGCCTAAGGGGCTATGAGTGATACAGTGATTTTGGGAAACCACTCAGAATTTCCTCCTGAAGCTGAAGAGTTTTACCTTGTGAGCCAACGCTTTAGTTCCTGCATGTACACAGCCAAGGCCATGTTCAGGAATGTGTGAAGCAGACTGTTCACAGCAGCAAACCTTGGAAGAAGCTCCGATGCCTGTCATCAGAAGCATGGGTAAATGCCATCGATGTAGTGTCACGATAGACTGTTGTTTTGCAGAGCAAGCAAATGACGTTTGTGGCATGCAGCAACATGGGAAATTTTAGTAATGTGTTGAGGAAAGTAGGCAAATCCTAGAAGACTGTCCTGTATGATGCCTTTTCTATTGTTGAGGTGCAAACACAGTTAAACACTCCCGAGTTGTGTGCAGGAGTGAGTATAAAAAGCATGGCAAAGGAATAGTAACCCCAGTCTGACGATAGGGCTTGGTGGTAGACCATTTGCCTAGCATGTGTGAGGCAAAAGATTTCAGGATGGCAGTTAGCCATAATAGAAGTCACTTGGAGCCTTAGTTCTTGGATTATTCTCCAGGTATTATTGTCCTATTAAAAAGGGCCAACGTGTGTGAGGGGGTCCTCCCACCACCCAAGCTTGGCCATGATTTCCCAGTGCCCCCCCCCCATTGGGAATCAAACTCAGGACCTTTCCTTGCAAGGCAAGTGAGGTGCCACTGAGCTACATCCCTGGCCCTCCCAGTGCTTTCTTGGAGCAGAAAGCCGGGGCTCCTGACTGGCAATAAAGGACCAGAACAAGGGGAAAAAAAAAAAGGGCTGGGGATTTAGCTCAGTGGTTCCGCCACCTGCCTCGCAAGCTCAAGGTCCAGAGTTCGATCCCCAGTACCAAAAAAAAAAAAATTAATAAAAATAAAATATGTGTTCAAAAAGGACCAACGTGCCATGAAACAAGGGTTAATGCTGCATATGTATGTACTGAGCGTATGAATGCCTCTTGTTCTGTGTGACAGATCCAAAGTCGGGTTGGGGGTGAGGGAGTCTTTCTGGCTTCTTTGTCTAGTTTCTCAGTTTTTATCTTTTCCCAGCCAAAGCATCTCTCTGATTAAGCTCTTATTACTTTCCAAGTAGTGAGATTCTCCTGGATTTTGTTGCCCACAATTTTGTCCTTCTTCTGTTCCTCTATGCCGTCCCTTCTCTACTCCCCCAGGCTTTTGTTTACCGCTAGGTACCTGAATACGTGAATTGCCACATGAAGCCAGGAATCCCTGTGGACTTCTTGTCTTTCCTCAACACTTTATTGATTACATAAAACATGATGTGACACCATCCTTGTCCCCTGTCCAAGAGTGATGATTATTTGTCCAGGTTGCTGTAAGATTTTACTGCTGGAGTTATAGATCATCCATTCCAATTCCTTATTCACAGATAAGCAGGCTCATACACAGAGAAGTTAAATGACTTTATCATGGTCACACAGCTATGGGGAGCAGAGCTAGAACCATAGTCCACATCTCCTAACTGCTAGGCCAGTGTCCTTACCAATCAACTGGTAGAGACTTTGAAGGAGTGGATCTCTGCAGTCCTTGTAAATACCACTGTGTGTGACTCTCTCTGTAACCCTGGATAGAACATATGCAAAACACCTACATACTACAGTTACTGTGGCCTTTGACCAGCTGTCATGTACAATCCCTTCTACCCTATTCTGCAGTGGTTTTCTGTTTCTTCTGGAGGGCGCCTGTAGCCTGGTAACTCTGGGTGCCTCCTGGCAGTGGGGGTTAGTACACATGAAGAGCAACCATTTGACCGGAGGAGCTGGCAGTGACTTGGCCACAGTGTGCAGGTTGGGATGCAGGACAGTGAGAAAGTAGTTTGTACACACTGACTACTTAATTCTGTTACGGGACTTCTGATAAGAGCATATTTTGTGCACAATGCATCCAGGGATAATTCTAGCTGCCAGGTTCTCAGAGTCTGACTCAGGATGAGGACAGAAAGATTAGTGGGTCAGTACAGATAGGATAGTGTAACAGGACTGGGGTGGGACAAGATTTGGGTGATAGCGTAATGGCTGTCTCTACAACCCGGGCTATTGAGCCTGGTGCTCTGGCACACACCTGGAATCCCAGCACTCTGGAAGGCATGGGCAGGAGGATCACAATTTTGAGCCCAGCCTGAGTGGCTTAGCAACCTAAGGAGACCTTGTCTCAAAATTAAAAATTGGTTTTGGGAGGCACAAGGAAGGAAGAAAGAATACCAGGGTTCTTTTTTTTATTTTTTGCTTTTTTTCAGATAGGGTCTCGATGTGTAGTCCAGGCTGGCCTCAAAGTCACAGTCCTCCTGCCTCAGCCAGATTATTCTTTCTTGTCTTCTGTCAGCCTCTTCTGGAGTAGAACCTGCATAGGGATTTTTCTGGAACCTTGTCATGGAATAGCAGGTTACACTGTTTGGTGGCAGAGTGGACCCTTGTTGAGGACAGTGGGAATGGCAGGAATGTCTGGTGTCTGTCCTGTGTGGGGATGGAATTGCCAGTTTGAACCAAGAGGGTCTCATTGTCCTGAGTTTTGTTCAGGCCTTAGTGTGCCATGAGACTTCCGTGAGTCATGATGGACAGCCTGATCAGTGAAGACTGTCAGTTCGGGGGTGGGCATCCCCTCCTCTACTCCATGACTTCACAGAACCAAAATAGCAACAGAGTGGAGCTGGCAATATAGAAACCCCAGGGTAGAATGGTGAGCTGAAAGCCCTGCTTATGGCTGGTACTGATGGTGTCCTTTTCCTTCTTTATCCATTTCCCTCTCAGTCACACACACACACCCACAGTCTCAGCTCTGATAAGATTTAGCCTGTCATAAAGCTGAGTAGAGACTAAAGTCCTGTCCTCAAGCCACAGGAACACACAGGCCCTGTTTCATATCTAAATGAGAAAATTCCACATTGCATCTGTAAATGTTATAAAGGAGGACTCTTCTGTGTCGGCTGAGGATGGTAGAGGACTTGTGACTTTAGATAATGTGGAAACCAGAGGGAATTGGCACTTTCTCCATTGTGGGATGGCTTTCTGAGGAGGTAGGATTCTTCAGGGTAGTGGCCATTGTATTTCCCTATGGAGAACTGTTTATCACGTAAGTGCTCTGCTTCTTCCTTTGCTCTTAAATAACCAAGGTGTTTTTTTTTTTTTTTTTTGGAGACAGAGTCTCTCCATTTAGTTCAGACCAGCTTTGAACTCTATATGTAGCCCAGGCTGGCCTCAACTCACTGCCCCAGCCTCCCAAGTGCTGGGATTACAGGCGTGCACCACCACACCCAGTTTAAATAACTGGTGTTTATTGGTACCCAGGATTGAACTCGGGACCTTGCAGTTTTCGAGACAGGTGGCCCAACCGGGGAGCTAAATTCCCAGCCCTAAATAACCAGTTTTAATGTAACATCAACACTGGAGCAGACCTGACTCACTGCTTGGTTCCTCTCCACTGCCATTTGACAGCAAATGGCCTCTTGTTCCTGATTCACATTGTGTGTTACTACCCTACCTCAGAACCCTTCAGTCACTCTAGCTTGGTGCTTCCTTCTGTCCTCAGGACAAGCTCTGGTTGCCTTGGCACAGCCTGCAAGGCCTCTTGATCTGATCTTACCTTGCCCTTTCCACATTATTTCTCGCCAGTTTTCTGCCATTCACCATACTCTGTACAAACTACGGCACATGATTTTATCTTTCCTTCAGCCTTTCCTTACCCTGTTCTGCCCAGAACACTTCCCCCACCTGTCTTCTGGCTGACTCCTCCCAGCCCCTTCCTCACCCTCATTGTCACCAGGCCTCTTCGAACCCCTAGGCTCGGCTAGTTGACCTTCTTGCTCACACTGTGCTCTGTAATCTCCCCATCACAACCCCTACCATAGTGTGCTACAGTTTCTTGTTCATTGCCTGTAATCTCCACCAGACTAAATTTAGTGAGGGCAGTTAACTTCTTTTTTGAATTCACCATTGTACTGCCATCTGGCACATAGTAGGCACTTTCATAAATATTTGACCAAAGAATGGATGAGTGACCCGAGTTTGTTATTCTGTGACAGGAATGGGAAAAGGACAGCACAGGATGCCTTCCAAGGATGAGCTGGTCCAGAGATACAACAGGATGAACACCATCCCCCAGGTATTAGGAATTGGCCCTGCTCTGAGGAGCATTCTTCCTGGGCTGCTCCAGGCTGCAGAGACAGGTGGGAAGCATGGAGCTGGGCTGATTGAAGATTACAGAAAGGAACCGGGTATATCTTAAGTGGAACACACTTCAAAGTCATGTGGTCCTTGTCAGAGTATGAAAGCAGAGGCCAAGTTGAGATGGAAAGACAGAAACTGGGCCCATCCAGATTGACCCCAGGAAAGCAGACTTGTGGAAGGTGGCCTGGAACTCAGGGCATCACAGACCCCCACCCAGTCACCAGCTCACAAGCTACGTCACGGAAAGCTCTAATGCCCTGCCTCTCCTCTTTCCCTCTGCTCTTTCAGACCCGATCCATTCAGTCCAGGTTCCTGCAGAGCCGGAATCTCAACTGTATAGCACTCTGTGAAGGTAGGTAGCCCATCCACTCCATGCTGGTTTGGGTCCCAGCTTCTAGCTGCAATCTGGCCATGGCTGATGTCGGAGCACTGTGTCTTCCCCCCACCTATATTCTTGTGTCTCAGGCTTTTATCTGTGACTTCTGCCCCTTTCCACCCAGTGATCACATCCAAGGACCTCCAGAAGCACGGGAACATCTGGGTGTGCCCTGTTTCCGACCACGTCTGTACACGGTTCTTCTTTGTGTAAGTCTGGGAGGGGCGAGGGGATGCTGTGGTGCCGTGTGACTACTGGGAAGGTCCTGGCCTGTTATCTGAGCGTTGTCCCTTGCTACCTGAGTGGAGCTGACCCTAGAGCTTTCCCCTTGGAGGATGGGGATGAAGATGGGAAATGGTGGGGAGGAAACCAGAGAGGCTGAATCCTTTCTACCCTAAAAAATAGTGAGAAAGCTTTGACTTTTGGGGTGGGATGGCCATGCCTCACTGTACAGTGCCACTGCTTGACATTTTTTTGGTATTGTTCTCCCTTCATCCTCACACTTGCCCTGTCTTCGGCAGATATGAGGATGGTCAGGTGGGCGATGCCAACATTAATACTCAGGACCCCAAGATACAGAAGGAAATCATGCGTGTGATCGGAACTCAGGTTTACACAAACTGAGGGGGCCCCAGCCCTCCAACCACGCTGTTCCCCAGGATCCATCTGCCCTCACCAAAGGGCTCAGGAGCAAAAGGTGAGACTGCCCTGCAGAAATCGGGCCACTACCCAGGACCAGGACAAGGATAGAAGAGGCGGCCTTCATGGTGGAGACTGACCCAGGAACCACTCCACAGTGGATGGCCAGACTGACTCCAACCCCCGATTTGCCCAGTTGACTTCACCATGTTTGTAAATAAAACAATAAACTGGAAGGTGCTGTGGACTGGATATGATCACTGTGGTCTGGCTGGCCTTGGCCCAGCACCTATTCCCAGGCCCTGAGGGGATGGAGTGGGGAGAGTGGGGAGGGTTTGTGCTGCACAGCACCAAAGCTGAGTCCCTCTGGTGGTATGTTCTACAGAGCTGCCAGCACTTTTATCAGCGCAGTGTATTAGGTACAGAAGGGATCTTAGAAGTACACAGATGAAGCAGAGCATAACTGTCAAGATTTAAAAGTGCCTAAAGCCAGAGCAGCTCAGATTTCCTACCCTCAGAGCCAACTGCCTTCTGCACAAAGCCTTAGCCTTTCACTCTCTAGCTTGGGCTGTGCCCCTGCTGTCCTTCCTCCGGCTGTTTCTTTGGGATGCATGAGATAAGGGGGAGCTGGTAGGTACAGGAAGCTGTATTGGTATCTAATTTGAAGTCTTTTAAGGGAAGGCTAGCAGAGGGTTTGAAATAGGAATCTTTTTTTATAGTATGTATGTATGTATGTATATATGTGTGTATGTTTGTTTGTTTGTTTTTTGATACCAGGGATCGAACTCGGGTTCTTGCGCTTGCGCATGAGGTGGAGAAACCACTGAGCTAAATCCACGGCCCTGTGTGTATGTATTTTGAGACAGTTTATGTAGCCCGGGTTGGCCTTGACTCATGGTAATTTCCCTGCCTCAGCTTCCTGAGTACTGGAATTATAGGCAAGGACCACCACACCTGGTTACAATACAGTTAGAATCTTAACCAAACCGAGGTGGAAATCACTGAAACAGGTGTCCTGAAACAGCCTCCTGCCTTCATTACCTTGATAACCTGAGAACCAGGCTGTGGTCCATGTATCCAAAACTCTCAGTATAGCTGGGATATGTTGGACCTTTCCAAATAGTTTGTGAAATATTTATGAAGAAATATGGGCATACAAGCACAGCAAATGCAAAAAAAAAAAAAAATTTTTTTAAAGACTTTTTACCAGACATAGTGGCACACATAGGTAATCTCAGGACTCTGGGAGGCTGAGGCAGGAGGATTGCTGTGACCTTTAGGCCACCCTGGGCTACATAGTGAGTTCAAGTCCAGCTAGGGCAGTTTAGCAACTTAGTGAGACCCTGCTTAAAATCAAGAGGATATAGCTCATTGTGGAGGCCTTGGGGTCAGTTCTCCAGTACTGCCCAGGTGAGTTTGCACACACACAAATACTTTTACAGATTTTTAATTTTCTTAGAGCCCTTGACTTAAAAGTCTACCTTTGGGCCAGGGATTTAGCTCAGTGGTTTCACCACCTGCTGCGCAAGCACAAGGACCTGAGTTCAATCCCCAGTACAAAAAAACCACAAAAGTCTACCCTAGACTATTGTCTTTCATTTCCTTTGTTATATACACATATCTTTACTAGGCAGCTTATCCTATTCTAGTTCTGGACTACTGTAACACAGAAGTACTGTTCCTAAGGACCATATCCTCAGAAGCTGTTTCTTAAACTCCTTTACCCCTTCTTGATCAAGATTAGTACCTCCTGCTGGATATGGTGGCACCGGCCTGTGATCCCAACACTCAGGAGGCAGAGGTAGAATCGCTGTGAGTTCAAAGCCGCCCTGAACTACATAGTGATACCTGTCTCAAAGAAAAAAAGATTAGTACCTTCTACCCCAGCATGGTGGCACACATCAGTATTCGCAGCTACTGGGGAGGCTGAGGCAGGGAGAATCATTTGAGTCCCAGAGTTTAAGACTAACCTGGGTAACAGTAAAAACCATTCAAAAAAACAAACGCATAGTGCTGAAGTGGCACTATGGTACTCGTGCTTCACCAGGCTGTTACCATTGAAAGCTCTAAAAGGTTCGCCGTCACTGGCGTCAAGCATTCCAACACTACAAGTCTCAGGCTCACATCTAGGAGATAACCCTCCAGGGTAAATGACCCCATCAGCCTTCCACAGCTGGAGTGCCCCCCTCTGTGGGGGGGACCTTTGCATCCCATCAGTAAGATACTAGAGACAGTTACACTGTGGCTCTTACTAGATAGGTGCTGGGCATTATGCTAAGCACGGCCATGATTTGCTAACACTTTCCATTACTTTGTATGTGTTTGGCATTGACTCCTAATTCTCCAATAAGCCTATGAAGTAGGTGCTGTTATTTGTATTTTGCATATCAGAAAACAGAGGCACAGAGGCTCATTTCCCATAATTCCACAGCTCATGACAGGAGCCTGATTTCATAACTGATGTTCTGGGTCTCTCCCACATGGCCTTTTGAGCTTTAGAAGATTTTTGCATGCAATCCTGAGAGCAAAGGTGGAAGATAAATTTTCCTTAGAGATGTTGACTAACATGCCGAGGGTCTCAGCTGTGGATCTGCCCAACTCCAGGACCTTATCTTTCAGCTATGTTTTTACTTCTCTAGAGATTCTTCAACAGCTCCTCTGGTGCCCCAGCAACTGGACCTAGGTGCATGGCTACATGGTATAATGACATTTTTGCTTCATTTCAGAAACTGTTAACAGGCTTTTCTCAGTTGTAAGCATTTCAGCATCTGATAAGGCCAGTGCTGTTTTAGGAAATGCAGGATTGAACAAATAGTTTTTGTTTGTTTTTTGAAGCAGGGTCTCTGTAGTCCAGGCTGGCCTTGAACTCTCAGCAATCCTCCTGCCTCAACCTCCTGAGTGCTGGGATTATAGGCTTGCACCACCATGCCCAGCTACAGATAGTGTATAATACCAGAAAACTCAGCTTTTGGAGAGGAATCCGTCCCCAGCCTGGAGGGGGAGCTGAGGGAGGGCCTAGCTGTTTGGGAGGTGGGCAGGTGGGGTCTGCAGGCCCCGTGTGAGCAAAAAGGCATTGTCCATCCCAGAGGTGAGGCCATTACAAGCACTGTATGCACAGGTGGCAGTGGTGCGGCCTTCTGGCTTTCACATTGTCCTGTGCTCAGGTAACCTCCCCTTATTTAGAACTGGACACTATCAAAAAAAAACCGACAAAAAATAAAAACAAAAATCCTTGAACCTAGTAGGTACTCCTACAGATATTTCCTGAAGAATAAAATTAGGGATTTAGCTCAGTGGTTCTGGTGCCTGTCTCACAAGTGCAGGGTCCCGAGTTCGATCCCCAGTAACAACAACAACAAAAAAGTGAAATACTTCTGTATGGAGGCATTTCAGTGATTATAGAACTGAACAAGCTTGGGATAGGGCCAGGAAAGAACTACTTTCCTCAATTAGTTCCAGGTGGAGAGAAGATGGCTGCCATTTCTGGACTGACAAGTCAAAAACTCCTTGAGGTTAACCTTCCTTTCCCTCCTGGTAATTTTCCATTTGGGCTGGGTGTGGTCGTGACTGGTGAGGATGTGGCCACCTGCTGGGGAGAAGCCTCCTGCTGGTCCTTTTGGCTTGCAGGAAAGGAGTCTGGTGCTGAGTCATTACCGGGTGACTTAGAGCTCCTTACACAGGATTCCAGATGGAGGCTTGGGGCTTCTCAGCTCCTGGAGCCAGTCTAGGTTAGTGGGCAGGAAGCCTTTATGGGTTACACAGTTCTTCCTCTGCCCCCAGGAATAAACTGGGCTTAGTCACTTGAAGGGGCACTGGCTTCTGTGGAGCATAGGACTTTCCACAGATGGAGCTTCAACACCCCCGCAAAAGGACCACAGATGCCACCATTTAAATTGTTGTCCTTAGAAGACCCACAGTCCCTTAATCCTGTCGTTAAGTGGGTCAGGGAGGCAGTGGCCAGGGTATAAGGACAGACACAGGTGGAGGGTGTGTCGGGGAAGACAGGAGGACTCTGATGTGCTGGCACCGCCCCCCCCATCTCATCCCATGTCCTGTGCGTTGGGATGCTTCAGTCTGCTCTGTCAGTGACAGTGACAAAGCACCCAGGCAGAGTATTGGGGGGGGGGCACACAGGCTGACTGCTAGAGAGCCTGAGCTCTGGCCACACCCATGGTGGGAAAGGAGTGCTCAGGGGCTCCAGGGAAGTAGCTTGGTGGGCAGGAGGAGGCCACCCTAGTAAGGCGTTTCCAGTGAGCCCTGATGGTTCTGGGCTAGAGAAAGTCTGCCAGAGGTCATTGTGGTGACAGGGTCACCTTGGCTGAGGCAGTATTTCAGTCTAATGAATAAGGACTCTTTAGTCTCCCTTCTTGCTCTAAGTGCTGGTGAGCTGTTTTTTCAGGAGGGTAGGAAAATCTAGATACAGTTGGATTAAAAATTCCGTATTCACCGATTGACTGTCCCTTTCCCATACACAAAGCCTGTTTTCTCTTCATCCCTACCTCCAAAGGGCCCATTTTTCCTTCTGGGCTTTGTCTGGGGTAACTGATAGACGCTACACTGCTTAGGCCTGAGGAGATTTTAGGAGTCTGAGGAAGCCACAGAATAAAGTCCATCTACTGTGGCTCTAGAAGGTGCAGAGGATGTCCAAAGTGATGTGTTTCTGCTTTAACTTGACATCAAAGCCCCGTGGGCCGGCCTAGCTATCTGTATTGTGGAGCAGAAACAACACTGCTGTTGCAGCAGAGGCCAGGAGGTTCCATGATCAATGAGAAAACCTGAAATCTCTCCCTCCTCACCTGGGCCCAAGTTGGTCTTCAAGCTCCAGGATTGCATCCAGCATGATTTGCACACACACACCCCAGGAATTCCACTGAACTTAGTTAAACCACAAAATTCCAGATTCTGTGGTTCTGTGCCCAAGAATCTACACAAATCAGCAATCTGTGCCCTGGCCTAGTGAACCTAGCCACTCCCTCTCCATCCTGACCAGGTCAGTGAACACAGGAAGTCTTGCTCTAGGCTGAGGGCTTGTGTGTTCCAGCACCCCTGGCTCCTGGTCAAAGGAGAAGATTCAGAGGTCAGCCTAGGCAAGCTGGACTTAAGAAGGATGTTCTGGCACTGAGCACCCGGACAACCCTGTCTAGACAGTTCCCTGAGGAAAAGGCTGCCTACCGGGCACCCTGCTGGAGTAACTGCAGTAATTCCCATGTCAGCTGATCAGACTCCACCCTGAGAAGCAGGGATTGTCCTCAATTTATTTTAAGGAATTGGACTCCTACTCATTTAATGACAGGATACGGTTATAGGGCTGGTGAGTGGAACTGGAACTAAGATAAGACATAACCCAAGCTTGCTCTTTACTGTGCTGGTTCTCAGTGAAATTGACACTGTTACCTGAAAGCCAAGTAATTCATCTACACTGCATCTAGCGTGAGCAGGAATATGCTGGGTTTGTTGCGAAGTCTTTTGGACAGCATTTCTACAACTGAGATGATCAGGATCTGCAACCAACAGGCACCAGTTTGCCACAGTTCTGTTTAACACATGCATTTCAATCTTGAGACTACACCTGGACGTAGAACGTCAAAATGCCACATAGTCCACCACAGGCAGATTGCTGCCACCGAGTGCTGTCCATCACTTTTTTTTTTTTCTTTTTTTTTTGGTACCGGGGATCCAACTCTGGACCTTGCGCTTGCGCAGCAGGCGGCGAAACCACTGAGTTAAATCCCTGGCCCCTCACCACTCTTCATAGATCACACAGCGAGGAAATCTGACTCCCTCCTCTGACGCCTTTTCACTTACAACTTCAGTTCTCTCACTACCTTAATAACCAAGCACTTCCTACTTACAATTAAGGGGACCAGAAGAAATTTAAAGACTTTATTTCATTGTCCTCAAATTTAGACTGTCACTTTCTCCACCCAGCTTATCTGAGTTAACAGGAAGTGGAATGAAGGCCTGTGATTCAGCAGAGCTTCAGCCTGAACAGGTCACACCCGTCGGTCTCATTTGTTGGCAGAAAGGAAAATGAACCTCAGAGAATATTCACATTTTGAACGCGGCAACGTTGTATCTGCTCTCAGAACGTGGCTGAGGAAGGATAGAGTTAGCAGCTGTGTAACTGATAACTACTCTCATTAGCGGTTGGTGAGACCACAATTGGAAAATTCAGAAATGCCCTGTAGAAAATGTAAGAAAAGCTCCAACAATGTAGATTTAAATGCCCAGGAGGGTTGGGAACATCAGCGCTGCTCTAGCAAAGCTCGGCGCTTTCTGATTTAGTGTTTCCAGACTGTAGCAGAGCCTTCCATTCACTTTCTAATCCCAGCCACTTGCTCAGCGGGATTCCAGCTGAGTTACTCATTCACTGGCCCCAACCAGTCCTTCCTCGTTCCAGGGTCGAGCTCCCACCTCCCTCTATTCCCACTCTAGGGCCTAAGCCCTCCCAAGGCGGGCCAGACTCCTCTCCATCCTTGCCTCCTCGCTCCCCGCCACTTCCCGTTCTGCTCGGCGCCCTAGGGTGCCCTGGGCCCATACCCGCGGGGTGGGGAGTCGCAGAGCGGGGCCGGGAACCCTGCCTTGCGACCCACGAATCTAGACGCCGCCCGGGGAGGGGAGGCCGGGGCAACTGGGGCGAGCTGGGCGGGATGCCATGCGCAGAGCACCGCTGCAGCCACCTCGCTTCGGCGGCGACAGGTGGTTCGGACGCCTGGGGGTCTGCCGGGAGGCATCCGGGGCTGGGGGCGGGTCTTGCTGCCTCGGTACTTTCCCATTGGCTCTTCGACGATCGCTACGGTAAATTGAAATGCATGTCCTTCCGCCGAGGAATGTAGTCCCCCAATCCCCCTCCCCCCCGAAGGGCAACCAGCACGTCCCGGGAAGGTGCCCGCGAGAGGACGCAGGGGGCGGGCACAGCGGCCGCTCCGCGATTGGGCGAGCGCGCGGAGGGATCGCGCGCTGCCGGGGTAACCTTGAGGCCGGGCCCCCCCTCTGCAGAGCCGAGAAGCATCCGGAGTGTGTACAGTGTTCTTCTTTCTGCACCGCAGCCCAGCTGAGCGCACGAGGTGAGCTGGGGAGCCCGGGCCGTCTGAGATCCCGCGTAGCCGGCCAGGCCTTGTTCGTCCGGACACCCAGACCGGGATGACGCCCCATCCTTGGCATAGCGGACCCGGCCGAACGTGGGGCGAGGAGGAGGAGGACGAGGACGTGGAGGCTCCTCGTGCCCGGGCCCGCGCTCCCAGGTCCCTCTCCGGTCTCTTCCAGAGTCCCTTCCCCAACCTTCGCCCTGGCCCATTCTCGCCTCTTTCTCCCTCGATATGTTTCCATCTTGGCCTCCTTTTTGTCTTATTCTTTCCTATTGTTTTTCACCCTTGCTTCCGCTTCCCTCCCCCCTCCCCGCTCTTTTGTTCCTCTTCTTCCTTGTCTTAACTAGTTTTTTTCCACCCTTCGTCATCTCCGTGTCCTCCGGATTCTGATGCTTTGCAACCTCTCCTTGCAACAGCCCCCCCTCCCTTCTTCGCGCGTCCTCCCTTCTGGCGGGTTCCCCTTCCCGCGCTTGTCCCCTGCCCTCCTGTCTCCCTCCCCCCGTCTCCTTCCCCCCTCTATCCCCCTGTCTCCCTCCCCCCTCCGCGCTGGTCACGTCGGCGCTCAGCATCCTACCCACCTCCGGTTCCCTCTCGCACTGCTGAGTCCCCGCCCCCTCCGTTCTGGTCACGTCCGCCCCGCTCCCTCCTCGTGGCGCTTGGCGGTCCTGTCCCTCTTTCTCCATCACTCCATCGCCGGGGCTTCTATTCTGCGGTTGGGCAGGGCCCGGGCTCCTGTGCGGCCCGAACGCAGCCAGCGGGTTACGTAATCTCGGTGTTCTCGGCTGCAGGCAAGAAGGGGTGGCCTCGTTCGCCCAGATCCCTGGCCTGGGCGCAGCCCCGCACAGTTGTCCGGTCCTGCGAGGCTCCACGGTCCCCATTGCTTGCGCAGGTTTGGGGGAGGCTCCTGCCTGTGTACCCGAAATCCTTGTGGCTCGGGGGCCACTGCGGGAGGCTGTTGGAGACTGGGATAACCAGGAAGGTCACGGCCTAAGGAGCTTAAGGTCTAATTAGGGAAACATGAAATTGATCACTGGCCCGGTTTAGGTCGAAGATGGAGCTTCCTGCCGGGCGAGGGAGGCGGCCAGAGGCTTCACGGGGTGGCATACGTGCTGGGTTTTCGGAAGCAGGAAAGCATCTTCCAGTCTGAAAGGTTACTTTCATTCCGAGTCATAGAAAGATGCCCCTTGGCTTAAAAACGTTTAATCCGTTTTTTCCAAGCCCAACACCATTCTCCGGATATATAAAGTGAGCCTACTTGGGAAATCCAGGCCTAGGGGACGAAAGCATCCAGGGGTTGTGAACCGCCTTTTACAATCTGGTTAACTCATTCACGTGAGAGGGTTCAGTTCTGGTCCTGTTTCCCGGATAGAAACCGGGAGCATCATTCTCCTGGTGGTAGAGACAGGTCTCTATTCAGGAGCCCCCGTTGAGTGCTGTTTTAGCCACCTCACAGGGTCTGATCTCCATAGTCGGGAAAGCGAAGTTCCTTAATTCACATCCGAGCCTGAAGAGTTATCTCCCTGCCATCCAAACGCACATCTTCAGTTACGTTTGAGAGTCCAGCTCTCTAAATACCAGGTATTTCCTGGAAACCAGTCCCTTCAGGGATCCTGCTACAGTCTTTACCAAGTAACAAAATGTTAATTTGCAACTCTTGTCACAGAAGCATTTTGGACTCTGGAGGAGCAGACTTTAGACAAAGGCAGGCAGGGAGGAAGGTGGGGTCAATCTGTGGTATTTGACTCTTTTTTTTTGGTACCGGGGATTGAACTCGGGTCCTTAGCTTGCGAGGCAGGCGATGGAACCACTGAGCTAAATACCTGGCCCTGTGGTATTTGACTCCTAAGGTAGAAATAAGGTAGGAGCATACTGAGTGAAATATTCTTCAGCTTCTTGGCTTCCCAGAGTGGGCTTCTAGGATGTGCTCATCCTTCTGGTTGGTGCCAGATTACAATTGAGATGGGATAGCGCCCCCTTTTGGCAGTACTGAGGGTATGGCCCCTTCTTAGGTACAGAAAAAGGCCTACGTCAGGACCCCTGGGGCAACATTGTTAGCAAATAATTTGCACTCTGGTTGGCCTGAGGTGCTGGTGATTGCTCTTTGGGGCTGTTCTTTGGGGAAGGGTAATGTAGCCCACCGCTAAGTCTGGGGGGAGGGGCGCTGTGGGCAAGATGGCCGAACCTTTCCACTTAACTGGTTTTGAGCGAATTGTCTTCCTTGGGTGAGTAGGAAAGCTGTGTTGTGGTTCTGGTGGGCTTAAGAAATCCACTCTCATGCCGGTTGTGGTGGTACATGCCTATAATCCTAGCATCCTGGAGGCTGAGGCAGGAGGATCTGAGTTTGAGGCCAGCCTGAACTACGTAGTGAGATTCTGTCTCAAAGGGGGGGGGTGTCAGGGATTTAGCTCAGTGGCACCGTGCCTGCCTCGAAAGCGCAAGGTCCTGAGTTCAATCCCTGGTTTAAAAGAAAAAAAATCTCCCTTTTCCTTTCAGCGAGTCATAATGAAACAGCACAAATTTTCCCCAATTAAAAATATCTCCACTAAATGCAAAATGCTTGGTCCAGGGCACTTTGTACCACCCCAAGAGTTTAGGCATGCCCTGTGACAAGGCCTGTGCCCAGGTAACGCAGGCTGTGCACCCACATTCCTGGGTGTTCTTTGAGGTGCACAGCCTCCCACGGGACATGAATAATGTGAGTGACAAAGGATTTCTGCAAGCTCATTTCCGAATCATTAACTTAAGCCAGAATATACAGATGTTAGTCTCCTGTCTAGCACAACTGCTTCCATTTCGAGCACTGCATTAGAAACAAAATGTTTGCAGTTTGCAGCATTCAGAGCTGCATCCCCAGTGACTTGGCACATTTGATAGCTGGCTGCAAACAGTGCCCCTGGAGAAATTGCACGTGTGCCTTGAATGTTGTGACATTAAGGTGGCGTCACAGGAAAAGGCATTTTATTTCTGAAAGCTGTTTATTTCTTAATGTTGAGGCAGTGGAAGAAATGAAACGGCTATGGACAGGAAGGTAGAAAAAGATGTGGCTCTTGCATTACACATTTTACTTGGGCTTTGGCTTCCTTTACTTCAGCTTTTTGGAAGCAAGTCGGGAGGGATGTGTTCATCTTGGCTGAGAGCTAAGACTGAGATCAAGGTAGAGGGAAGTGACTTTTTTTTTTTTTGGTACTAGGGATCGAACTCGGGTCCTTGTGCTTGAGCAGCAGGCAGCAAAACCACTGAGCTAAATCCCCCCCCAAAGTGACTCATTTGACATTGCCTTAATTTCTGAATCGCTCAAATGCCCACAGTCAAATCCTGACTAATTGGAATGAGAAGGAATTGTTCCTGTAAGCAGATTTTTAATTTCAACTTTGCAGACGGTATTTCATGCACTGTTTCTTTTTTTGGGGGTGGGGTACTGGGAATCAAACCTCAGGACCTTGCACTTGAGGCAGGCACTGGAACCACTGAGCTAAATCCCTGGCCCTTGTGCATGGTTTCTGAACTTTATTTGGTGGAAGTTCTCTCAGGACCTTACAGCATCCCTTTAAACATCACTTTGGGTACCAACCAATAGGGAAGGATAGAGCTAAGTGACAGAATAGATGATGACCATTCTTAGTAGCACTATGCTTTCTGGGAGCTTGCATTTTTCACGCAAGCTGAACTTAGACTGGATAATTGAGTAGTGTGTGTGATGATTGAGGCTTGAGGCTTCGTGTTGAAGAAGCTGTTGGGGGAAAGTGAGCCAGGGTGCATGGTGGGTGGTGGCATGCAGCCTCTTGGGGCTCCTATGGCCTCTCGGTGAAACTGCTGTGCTCTGGACCGGGAGTCCTGGTAGGGCTACTAAGTGGTGTGGTGAGACCACGCCCCTGCGGTGGTTTGTGCCTCTCAGCCCGTAGCAGGGGAGCCCAGCTGCAGTACCTCAGGCAGCCTCTTGAGAGTCACCTTCCCCAAGGTCTCAGCCTCTTTCCTGAAGCCATCAAGCAGTATTTGGGGACAGGCTTGGCTGTGGTTTGGTGGGAGAGATGCCCAGACCAGCTGTGCTAGGATGGTGAGATTTCTGGCTGTGGCATTTCAGCGTGTGGACCAGCTAAGATGCTGGCTGCAAAAAGTGTATATATTTTTAATTTTCTAAAAAGAACCCTATCCCTTCTGGACATCTTTAATTGACTTGCACATCACATTTCTTCAACTTGAAACAACTGGTGTGTCTTGAAATACTTGCAAAAGAATTGCCGATCAGCTTAGCTGGTCTTGGCACATCAGACGTGGGGTCTGTGACCATTTTAGAGGAGCCTGGGAATTAAGAGACTCATCCTGAATCATCCTTATATTTGGCTATTAAAATAGAGAGCAGATTTAACAAGTATCACTTAACATTACAGACAGACGATCATTTAAAAAGTCTATCAGGTGTTGGCAAAGATGTGGGAAGGCAGGAATTCATGTTATTGGTTGGTGGGTTAAAAATTGATCCACTGCCTAAACAATGGGGAGTGTTTAGCTAAAACAGAAAAAAAAATGACCCAAGAATTCATTTCTACATTTTTAGAAGCTTACATGTGCCCTAGGAACCTGTCCTGGGAGAGAATTGTACTACTATTAATAGAGGAAAATCTGTTTAATGGAGGGAAAGGGTCACCAGTAAGGGAATACATAAATACAGTGGAGTCAGAATGATTTAGCCGGATCTGTTTACCAGCTGCATGGATCTTAAATGTGGTGCACAGTGGAAAAGCAAGTTATTCAGTGATCTGCACAGTGTGCTACTTGGGACAGGAAAGTGGCCAGTAAAAGCTATGATCAAAACCTGTGTCTCCCTGCAGTCCATAACATGTTGGTATAAATTTTCCCACTTTCTGCCATTGGATATAGAGGCGCTTCAGCTGTCTGTGTGACTGTGTACAGTAATTGGAGTCCCCTAAAATGTCAGAGCCATACAGAGAATCTGTAGCTCTGAACTCACTGCAGAAATAGATCAAGGGTCCATGGGTACTAAACTGTTCAGATCTTTCCAAATAAGACCTCTGGAAAGGAAACCAAACAAGCTGTGGGTAATTCTCTTTTAGAGCCTTGTAGAACTCACTTTCTTTTTCTTTTTTTTTTTTTGGTGGTACTGTTGATTGAACTCAGGACCTTGCGCTTGCAAGGCAGGCCACTGAGCTAAATCCCTGGCCCTGGAACTCATTTTCTGAAACAATAAAATACATCTTCCTGAAAAAAAAAAAAAGGCCAGTAATAACGTGGAGTTTGGTCCAGCTGCAGATGCACTCACTGTTCATATGTGCCACGGTTGGCTGTCACAAGGTTGGGGAGGCCTGGAGGTGCTGGGGATGGAGGAAAAATGAACTGTATAAAATTGTAATTCTAAAGAAAGCAGAGCTCAGCCGGGGATTTAGCTCAGTGGTTTCGCCGCATGCTGTGCAAGCGCAAGGACCCGAGTTCCCTGAGTTCGATCCCCGGTACCAAAAAAGAAAACAGCTTAGTGCTAACGTGTCAGGCTTGTAATAGCTAAATCTTGAAAACTGCCCAAATGCCCGTCAACGGATATCAATGGATAAAGATACAGAGTTTTAAATATCTATGATGAAGTACTATTGTGCTGCAAAGGATAAGCTTGAGACATTTGTAGCTAAATGGATGCACCTTGAGGCCACACTCTTAAGTGAAATAAATCAGACACATATGTTTAAATACTGCATTTTTTTCTCTGGTGTGAGAAACCGAAAGTATAAGGACCAAAATATGTAGTAGATGTTTGGAAATGGGAAGAAAATATTCAAAAGAGAAGGGGGGAACAAAGGAGCAGAGTGGGGGGAAAAGAAAGAAGAAACAAGACTAGAAGAAAAAAATGGAAACAAATATTTTGTGAATAAGGAGAAGAGGGATCCAAGGGAGAGGAGGGGGATGGGAAAAAAAGAAGCAAAATATATCATGTACAGGTACAAATTCCCTTGAGGAATGTTATCATTATGTATATCTAAAATATACTGATAAAATTTTTTAAGCGAGGCAGGCAGCAGAACCACTGAGCTGAATCCCCAGCCCTGATAAAATTTTTTAAAAAGCAATAAAACCAAAAAACCCCAAACAAAAATAAATATAAAAAAGCGATTTTTCCTTTAAAAAGAAAGAAAAAGGTACAAGTGTTTGGTTTTAACAAGAGAAGCAAACCTATAAAGGCTGCCTGGGAAGCCATTCACTGATAAGCGCTAAGTGCTACCCAGCTACAGTTCTAGCCAGGCTTCTCAGGCTGAAACAGCCCTCTGGCTGGGGGTGGAATCCTAGGACATGAGGGTCTTCTGCTCAGGACTCCCTGCCCTGGAATTGAGGGTCTTTCTGAGGGCAGAAACTTCTTAGCATCAGCTTTGTGCCCTATTCTGTGCTGTAATTTAAAGTAGATGGGACCGCAAGCTTCTGCCAGTGAAGTTTGGTTCACTTAGTTCTAGCCCTGAAGAAAGAAAAAATTTTAAAATTGATTGATTGGTTGATTTTTTTGGGGGGGGGGCAGTCCCTGAGGATTGAATTCAGGGCCTTTGCACTGAGCTACATCCCACGTCCCCTTTCTAAAATTTTCTTTTGCTACCGGGGATCAAACTTGGGACCTTGGCTCTTTCAAGGCAGGTGGCGGAACCACTGAGCTAAATCCCTGGCCCTTGAATCTTAAGAGCGAGCTCCTAGTGAGCTCTCAATCACGTGGAGAATTGAGGATTTGAAGGCCCTCCGTGCAGGCTTGGGGAAAGGAACGGCACCTCTGAGGCGTGCTGGAGGGAGGAGGTGGGCATCAGGTGCCACTGCTCCAGGCTGGTCTGGCGCCTTAGCATCCTGGGTACGAAGTCCTGCCTGGTGAGAGAAAACTGCTTGTGTGCAGATGAACTCTGGCCAGGCCGGCTTATCAGGGCAGAATGATGAGGACCTTTGTGAAAGATGAGTTGGTGGGGTGAAGCGTGAATCCTTCCCAGTGCAGCCTGATAATGGCGCTGGCTCTAAGAAGCAAGGTCTGGTATTTTTTGTATAATTTTTGCCATGTGGATTTGAAGAATGGCTGAAGAATTGTGTATGACACAAAGGAAACCGGTATAAAGACCTGGGACCCTGAGATGAGATGGGAAAGGGCCAAGCTGGCACCCGGAGCTGAGCTCTGCCTGGCCTAGCCTGCCAGCCCTGACTAAGGCCTGCATGGTGTCTCGTTTCTGCAGTGGAGAAATGGCTCAGAGAAAGCTGCTCCTATGGGGGCTGGGGCTCCCAAGCAAGGCTGCTGTACCTGGGCACCATGTTTCCTGCTGGTGGTGGACGACCCAGGCTTCTGCCGCTGCCTGGAGGTTGGCTCTGCATGTCTCTGCCTCCAGAGGAGGAGGATGCGGAGTGACTCAGGCTGGCATGGCTGGGAACACTCACTCTCCTGGGGTTCTGGGGAGCCACCAAGTGGGCAGCTTGTGTTTGGGGAGGACCTTGGAGACAGGCTGGGAGCTGTGTCCGCCATCAGGGAGAAGAGAAACCAGTTGGTGACACGGCTTAGTCATAGGGGGTTCTCAGGACATAATGATCTTTGTTTTTTCTGTGTTTTTTTTGTTTTGTTTTTTTGGTACTGGGGATCGAACTCTGGTCCTTGCTTTTGCACAGCAGGTGGTGAAACCACTGAGCCAAATCCTCGACCCGGTTTTTTTCTGTTTTTTTGGTGCTGGGGATGGAACTCAGGATCTTGCACTTGTAAGGCAGGTACAGTGCCACTGAGCTAAATCCCTGGCCCTGTTTTTTTTGAAACAAGGTCTCAGTGTAGTTCATGCTGGCATTGAATTCACTGTGTACCCCAGGCTGGCCTCACACTCGCTTTGATCCTCCTGCCTCAGCCTCCTGAGTGTTGGGATTACAGGTGTGTGCTACCACTCCTAGCTAACATGAGATCTTCTAGGAAGTCTGGAGAGGACTTGCTGGCAGGCTTGCTCTTTGACTGCTGGTGTGCAAATCCACTGATATATCAAAACTTAATTTTGTTGGGCAGTTTTATACTTCATAGCAAAATATTAAAACCTGTGGACTGGCGATTTGATTAAAAATGGTGAAAAAAGGCTGTGGTTTGTGGCCAGTATAATTGAATATACTGATGGCATCTCCGGGACAGCCTTGTGACAAAGGTCTACTGTGCAGCTTTAGTGCTTACTAAACAGGAAGTGAAGTGTGCTGGGTTTGAGCCAGTAACTATATTAGTGTGGAATTGTCCTGTGGATTGTATCACTGGCCTGTGTGCGTGTGTCACACATGTACTCCTTTGAGGTTCTCAGTGGACCAAGTCCTTAAAACTGCCCTGCAACCCTTTGTGACCTAGGGCCTAGAGCACTTGTCTTGCCTCTTGTCACGCGTAAACTGTGTTTCTGAACGGCAGAGGAGCTGTTGACTGTAGAACTTCATATTTCAGCTGGACGTGGTGGCACATGCCTGTAATCCCAGCACTCAAGAGGCAGAGGCAGGAGGATTGCTGAGAGTTTCATGCCAGTCTGGGTTATGTAGTGAGTTCAGGACCAGCCTGAGCTACATAGAGAGCCCATGTCTTAAAAACAGTAACAACAACAGAAAAAAGAACTTTACATTTCATTTAATTCCTCTCACAATTTTATGGGATACTTGTAAATAAATATATTATTTTTTGAAAAGATACACTTGTCATTTTTCTTTTTTTTCTTTGTTTGAGACAGAGTCTCACTATTAGTTCAGATGGGCCTTGAATTTTCTGTGTAGCCCAGGCTAGCCTTGTACTCGAAGTGAGCCCCCTGCCTCAGCCTCCCAAGTGCTGAGATTATAGGCATGAGTCACCACACCTGGCTACTTGTTGTTTTTTTTGTTTGTTTTTTTTGTTTTTGGTACCGGGGACTGAACTTAGAACCTTGTGCTTGCGAGGCAGGCGTCGGAACCACTGAGCTAAATCCTCGGCCCTACTTGTCATTTTTTAAAAAAGTATTTCTTATTAGTTATTTTATTCATAAAGAGAAGAAAGGTTGGGCCGGGGAGCGGAGGGTGGGAAGAGAAAAGTTTCGCTGTAGTTCTGCCACCTAGACAACATCCCGTTACAATTTTGGTACATACTCTCACAGACCTCTTGTGCATGTCTCATTTGGTGTCCTGTCCGCAAAAGGAAGGGAGCAGGTTCTTGCATAGAATAAATAATAGGGTGTTAGAAAATCACAAATTTCAAATCTTAGCAGTTTCTCTGTATTTTCCTGGGGTGCTTCTATGTTTTTCTTGGGAATGCAGCTGCACCTCGTGAAGCAGCTTGTACCTGGACACCTGCTTACTAAGGTAATGTTTCTGTCACCCCAAGAGCGTTAGTTATGCTCAGCTTTCACCTTAATCCTTGTTCAGCTCTCCAGGGCAGACCCTACTCAGCTCTGAGCGGTCTTTCCAAGTGGGGCGAAGCAGCCGCCCTGAGCCAAAGAAAGAGTCTTCTGTCACCAGAAGCCCAAGCCCAGAGCAGCACAGGTATGATCTGATCGTCAGTGGCCCTGGCCGAGTCTCTGAGGAGACCTCAAAGCTCAGGTCTAAGGGTCTGCAGATGGTTCTCCAGACTAGCCTTGGCTGTCCATAGTACAGACCTTGGGCTGGTGACACTGTCTCCAAGGCCACAGCAAGGCCATGTGTTCTGGTGGCCTGGTGTGCCAGCTCCCTTAAGCCCAGCTGTTGCTGTGCATACACCGTGAGCGTAGGTGCAGGGCCCCTGGCTACAGGAGTCCTTAGATTTGAGTGAGTTGGAACGGCCTTATGACTGATTGTGATGACATTGAAGTGGACAGAAAGGTCATTGAACAAACAGGAATACCTCCAAGGCCTGGTGATCGGAGATCCAAAACCAGCTAGGTAGGCGGGAGATGTTGGCTTTTTCATTTTGGGGCCTTTCGAGATGATATTGAGGTAAGTGGTGCTTGTGCCATGGGGCGCCCCTCGCTGGGAGCTGAGGACTCAGCACCGGTCAACAACAGACTGGGCACAAGGCTCCTTTTGCCAGGCCCGAGCCTCAAGGTTGGGAATGGGCTGAGGGCAATCTACATGGACTCCCTGGTGTAAGGCCCTGAAATGAAGGGACAGGGTTAAGGAGCGGCTGATTTCTGAGCCTGTGCTGAAGGGTTTTATTTTTTTTATTTTTTTTGGTACAGGGGATTGAACTCTGGACCTTGCGCTTGTGAGGCAGGCGCCGGAACCGCTGAGCTAGATCCCTGGCCCATATTTTTTTTTTTGGTACTGGGGATTGAACTCAGGTCCTTCCGCTTGCTAGGCAGGTGGTGGAACCACTGAGCTAAATCCCCGGTCCTTGGGCTGAAGGGTTTTAGAAGGAGCCCTTGGTTCAAGGACACCACTGAGCAGGGTGTCCAGCCTCAAGTCTGCGTCCTTCCCTGTATCTTTGTCCTCTGCTCAGCTGACTGACCGGCTCAGTGAGTTTAGCTGTGGGTCAGTAATCAGGTAAAGCAGGGGTCAGGGTGGTTCTTGGGGTTATGACCTGGGCCAGTTAATCACCTGGAACAAATGGCCCCTTTCTGAGAAGAGTGATTCTCACGAAGGGAGTCGGAGTGGGCTGTTGGGACGCAGCTGGGTAGGACAGGCATGTAGCTCCACAATACAGCGCTTGCCTAGCATGAGAGGCCCTGGACTCAATCCCTAGTAGGGAGCAGTTAGGAAAGCATAATTCCCTTTAATTGCAACTGACTTGTTAATGAAGTTGTAATGTTAGAACTGTACTAGCGGTGTTTTGGTTACCCTCTTGTATACAAATTGATTTGCATAAAGTCCTCTGACCTGAAGTTGGTTGATGGATTGATAGATTGATTTAGAGGTACATTTCCAGTCATTTTAATTTTTTATTTTGAGAAGGGATCTCTGACTTCCAGGTTGGGCTCAAACTTGTGATCCTTCTGCCTCAGCTTCCTAGAGTGCTGGGATTACAGGTGTGCACCAGTGTGGTCAGCTAGATGTGTGTTTTTTTGGTTTTTTGGGGTTTTTTTTGGTGCTGGGGATCGAACTCAGGTCCTTGAGCTTGCGCAGCAGGTGGCGAAACCACTGAGCTAAATCCCTGGTCCCTAGAAGTGTTTTTTTGCTGCAGGCTCCTGGGATGAAGGATTTTGTATTTAGGGTTCCTGTTGGACTTGCTTCCCAGAAAGGGACCACTTCTGGTTGCTCTCAATGGGCTTGGGCCTATTTATTGTCACACGTGCTAGGAGTGCTGAATAAACTGTGATGCTCTGGGGAATTGGGAACTAAGGAGACTTCCGGGCCCGGGGCCAGAGGGGTGATCTCCCCAGCCAGGGGAATCAGGTTGGGTTCGGGTGAGGGTGGTAAAGGGTACCGTGGGTTCCCTGGACAGATGCACATTGGTGGCTTCAAGACAGCTTGTCACACAGAGAACTAGACTTAGCCAGCACTAAGCTGGGGATCAGTTTGTTAGCACAGGAAGGTGGTTGAGACTCCCTTTTGTATACAATCATTCGGTGCATGTTAAATGGTATGGTTGATAGGAGATTGTCATCTGACTAGCAGGGCTCAATTTGGAGCACACCCACCTCCCCAGAGTGCGGCTGGGATACAGAGTGTGTTTCTTGGGTTAATGTGTAAACTGGAGTCGGCTTCCTGTGCCAGGTGCCGAACTGAGCCCCTCTTGACCTGACGGCTCTCTTTTGTTTCCTGGACCAGCACCTCAGAAGCCATGTCGAAACCCCCCTGTGAAGTCGGGTCCGCCTTCATCCAGACGCAGCAGCTGCACGCGGCCATGGCCGACACCTTCCTGGAGCACATGTGCCGCCTGGACATCGACTCGGCCCCCATCACGGCCCGCAACACCGGCATCATCTGCACCATTGGTGCGTGGCGCCCCTCCCTGGGCGGGCTTCTTGGCTTGGGACTGCTTCTCTCCTGGAAAGAGTAAATGAGTGTCACTTAATCACAGCAGGCCAAGATGCTGTGTTTCAGGGAGGCCAACCAGGCTGGCCAAGTCTCCCTAGGCTTTTCTGATAGATAGCACCATGTAGGATTTAAGGGAAGTGGGAGAATACCCCAAGATCCAGAAAGGCTAGCACAGTAGCATTCTTCTATGCACTTTTGAAAGGATTTTGGGCTGTTGGAGAGAGGAATTGTTCATAGAAAATGTAATTGAGCAAACTGCTGTGTTCTACTTGCATAGCACATTTTTCTTACAAAGTGCTTAAAACGCTTTCCTCCTAGGCCCGGCCTCCCGCTCAGTGGAGATGCTCAAGGAGATGATTAAGTCTGGGATGAATGTGGCCCGGCTGAACTTCTCTCATGGAACTCATGAGGTGAGCCCTGGCCAGGCGCATTCACGGCAGGGGTTCATGGTGGGTGGGAAGCCGCCTTTACTAGCCCATCCTGCTCCTTCCCTCTGGCCTACCCTCAGCCCTCCCTTCCCCGGGAATCCCCAAAGGCCATAGTGGTGCACCCATAGCATGTGTGCTGCAGCCAGCTGTTTGTTATCACTGAAAGCTCTAAAGGGTTCAGCATCACTGCCCTAAGCCATTAGGTGTCTCAGCCACTGTCCCCAACATTCCTGCCCCTGGGTTTCTGCAACAACTCATGCTGCCACTGCAAACTCATAGGTCTTCCAGTGGGTTGATATTCTGGCTTTGCTCAGACAGACGAGCCAGATGCAGGATGAGGGATGGAACCACTGTTGCAAGCTAAGGACCAGCTATGATGTCTGGTACTAGCACTGTCTGTCCTGTGGTGTCCCATGCCGCAGCATGCTCCCTGTGCTTCTGGTATAGTCAAAGAACCACAGAAGAGGAGCAAGAGGTGGAGGAAGGGAGGGGAGGGGACGTAGAGAGAATTAAAATGGATTTTGTACCCAGGCTAACTCCCTGAGATGAATATACTTAGTATGGACTGCAAACATGTACTAATAAAGATTTAAAAACGTGATAAGCAGTCAGCGTGTCTCCTCAGAATGTATTTGAGCTGGGCTTTTTATTAGCCAGCCTGATCGTGAACAGAGGCCTTATCCAGGGACCTGAGGAACTGTCAGGAAGGCTTCCGTCCTGCCCTCTGCTTCCCTTTCTGAGCAGTGGGGATTGGGCCTTTTTGGGAAGAACCTTTAGGCTTCACTGTGAAGATCCTATGGTCTGTTCCACAGACCATAGGATCTCGTACTGGCAGTGATGAAAGAGTGAAGAAAGTGCTCCCTGTAAGGTCAGATGGTGCGGGGTTGCCCTCTGACCTTTGGCAGTTGGTATTAAGTTTGGACTAAAAATAAGTCCTCATTAACAGCAGTCCAAGAATTGAATTCCTCCTTTCTGGGAACCTGAGACTCTGCATCATAGATTCTGTAAATGACCTATAGCTGGCTTGGCAGGAAGCTGACCCCCAAATGTCACAGGGGCCTGGTGTGTCCGGCAGGTACCTAGGCAGTTTCTAACGCATCCTTGCTTTTGTCATGTTACAGAAGCACAGGCAGGCTTTTCAGCAGGAGTCACCAGGAATCACCCCTTGTTGGCTTAGTTCAGAGAGTGAGCTCAGGACTGAGGTGAAAGCCGGCTGCTCATTGATCTCTGCTGCTTGAGTTTGCCAAGGCCTCTGGCGTGCTGGGGATGGAGCAGAAATAGATGTTGAGAAGCTGACCTTTAGGGAGGCTTTATGGCACCTCCATCCCATAAAATAATACTGGACAGCTCTGAAATGGCAAGTGAGAGTGAATATGCGTCCCCTGCCCAATGGCTGCCCGCTCAAGGGTTTAGGTTTTTGTTTGTTAATTGCGACAGGGTCTCTGTGTAGTTCAGGCTGGCCTTAAGCTTTCAGAGATCCTCCTACCTCAGCCCCTCCAAATGCTGGGATTACAGATGCATGCCATCACGCCAGCCTGGAGTTCAGTTTTTTAATTTACAAAAGGCATTTGGAGACTCTCAAGTTTATTTTTAGGTTTTAGACCATGATGGTGATGTCCCTGAGACCAGGGTTTTAGGAACTGATTTGAAATTGTTCTAGGAGTATGTGATGTATGGTAAATAATTTCAGTTTGACTGCATGGTGGGGTGCTTACTTCTACTAGGATCTGGGACATTCTTGACTTGGTTTTTTGAGACAAGGTCTATAGTTCAGGGTGGCCTTGAATTTAACTGTGTTTTTCAGGCTGGCCTCAAACTCTCAGTGACCTTCCTGCCTTGGCCTCCTGAATGCTGGGGTTTAAAAGGTTTACACCACTGTGCCTGACTCAGTTCTTGATAATTTCAAGTATGTTTCTGAGAATATCGAACCTGCTTTTCCCCGCTGACAGAGACCATGTACTGTCTGATTGGATCTTTTAACAGCTTTGGGAGCTCTCTGGCCCCATCTTCGGCAGTCACAGAAGCAATGTGTGTTCTTGCTGAACATGTGGTTCCATGATGCCCGTGTTGGCCAGAAAATAATGACTTTTAAACAACCCAAATTTAGACCCTTCTGAAGGACAGGCCGGGTGGGTGGTGCTCTTAGCCTTTGGATAACACTAGCGAAACCACAGTTGAAGCAGGGCGTGGCGGCAAACTCCTTCCTGTAGCTCAGTGTGAAGGCCCTGGGCTCAATTCTCAGTACCTGCTCCCCCTACCAGTGATCTAGCCCCTGCCCCAAACACTTAGGGCCAAATGATTTTAGGGAGATCAAACCCAGGGCACCCCATTTGCTAGGCAAGTGCTCTACCATTGAGTCAAGAGCTCTACCAGCCCATGACCAGATGACTAAGGCTGAAGTCTCTTGTCCTTGAAGGAACAGTTAAATCAGTTCCAGTTAGACTGCTGCAGAGCTTAGAGAAGTGTGGAAATCTCTCCATACTAAGGTCAGGCAAGGATAGTACACAAACCAGACTAACCAGGTTGGCACTCTAGACTAGTCATAAGAAGATAGAGAAAACATAAATAAAACTTAATCCAAATCCAATAGTTTATCAAAGGAATTTCATATCACATGACTAAGGAAATTGTATTTTAGGGACAGAGAGAGCGTCCCAAAGGGGAATTAAATAGAGAAGTCATTGCAGTGTACGATGATAATAGAACCATTTATTAAATAGTGATTATGTGCTTGGGTTTGTTCCTCATTCCTCATTTAGTTCTGAGAAAAAGGCATTTGACAATATTCAGTATTCATTCTTTAAAAAGAAGAATCCACACATGATGGTGCACACCTGTATTCCCAAGTTAGGAGGCTGAAGGCCGGAAGCTAAATGCTACCCTTGGCTGTATAGTGAGACCTTGTATCAAAAAATTAAAATAAAAAGACTTTAAAAAATTTCTTTTCTTCCCTGCATTCTGTCTTGTACCATTCTTGGCTTGCTTATAATTTTTATAACTTTCTGTAAGGCCCTCTACAAAACAAATTATGTCAGTGGCCCCTTATTCTAGAGTACATGAGAATTCAAAGCCGAATGTTTTCGACACAGCCTTAGGGCAGTGCCGTGCCAGCCTCCTTCCTGCAGCACTGGCTCGTGGACAAGGGCTGGGTAAGGATGAGAGCCATAAAGTGCTGGATTAGGTGCCCTTTATCAGCAGTGTCACATGGATTATGCTATCTGGGAGCTCTAACATGTTATCTGGTGTCTTGAGTCCCTTTTTAATCAAACAGTAGTGGCAGGTGGGAGAAGGGGAAAGGGTTACGGAGAGGTCGAGGCTAGCATTTGCCAGGGTTTGTCACAAAGGGCGTTGCCTGCGGACACAGGACTCTGCCTTCCTGTCCCTGTTCCATTCCCGCTCCAGTCTGTCCTGGAAATCACTTGTGGAGCCCTCCTGCAGTGACCTTCCACGTGAGTTGTTTAGCTTGGGCCACTGTTCGCTTGTGTCAATAAATTGGAGCTTGGATTGTAGTTAGGATCGATAGGAAAAGCACAGAATTGGATGCTGATTGAAATGTTTTGAGCCCAAGGGGGTTGGAGGCGTGCGAGTAGAGGGCGCTCAGTGGATAGGCTTCACCCAGGTTGGAGAGTGGGGGAGGCCGTGCCTTTCCTAAGAGATCTGCTCAGCCCCAGGGCAGGGAACCTGCACCTGATCCAGGCTTGGAGGACACTTGTCATCTTCCTTGTCTTTCCTCCAGTACCATGCAGAGACCATCAAGAACGTGCGTGTGGCCACCGAGAGCTTCGCTTCCGACCCCATTCTCTACCGGCCAGTGGCTGTGGCCCTGGACACCAAGGGACCTGAGATTCGAACTGGTCTCATCAAGGGCGTGAGTATCAGGGAGGGGCTGAGGTCCGCCCTGCCTGGATGCCGGTCTTAAGACTTCAGTGCTGCAGATGAGGGTTTTATATTCATCCCTGTGAGCAGAAAATGCTGATTTGGTCTACTTTGCTAGAAATAGTATCCTTGTTACTCTTAAAAACCGTAAGCTAAATGTCACATGGTTTCTCTTGTGAAAACCCCAAAGCGTAAATACATCTTAAAAAAACAAAATGAAAGATAAATAATAGGAAATGGAGAGCTGGATCTTTCGCAAATTGGAAGTAGACTAAGATGGAGGAGGGAACAGGGAGATGAAGGAAGGAGATGAAAAAGGATGAAGATGTGTTGTGTACCTATACCAACTCCCCACGAGGAATGTAGTCATTACATACTGGGAACATGTACTAAGAAAAGTCAAGTTTTTTTTTTTTTTTGGTACTGGGGATCGAACTTGGGACCTTGTGCTTGCAAGGCAGGCGGCGGAACCACTGAGCTAAAATTAAAATCCCTGACCCCTTGAGAAGTAAAATTTTTTAAAAACACTAAAACCTACCACCTTAAAAAAAAATAGAATTATTCTGGTAATCATTGTAAATAAAATTCTCTCCTTTTCTAAATAGAGCCCCCCCCCCCAAAAAAAGCCTCTTTCCAAGTGTCTCTCATTTTGCATTTCTTTCTTTTTCTCCCATGGTTAAGTAGCAAAACTGAAACAATGTAGTTTTTTCCCTGCCTTCTTTCTTTGAAACCTACTTAAAGATAGGAAAGTTTTCTGATTCTGGTTAGCTGTAATTCGAGCCCTGGTCCCAGGAGAAAAGGCCCTGGTGGCTCCAACTCACAAAGTCTAGACCTGGCCTCCTCTGTCCACAGAGCGGCACTGCTGAGGTAGAACTCAAGAAGGGAGCCACGCTCAAAATCACGCTGGACAATGCCTACATGGAGAAGTGCGACGAGAATGTGCTGTGGCTGGACTACAAGAACATCTGCAAGGTGGTGGACATAGGCAGTAAGATCTATGTGGACGACGGCCTCATTTCCCTGCTAGTGAAGGACAAAGGTTTGTATGGGAGTTGGGTCCTTCTAGAGATGGGGGAAGGGGAATAAAAAGAATTAAGAAGGTGGTGCATGCCTGTAATCCCAACACTTGGGAAGCTGAGGCTGGAGGATCCCAGAATGTTTGAGGCCAGCCTGGAATACATAGCGATACCCTGTCTCAAAGACACAAAAGAAGAAGATGAATATAAACATTATATTTTGTGAACTTGTACTGTATTTGTATAAAATAAAGCTCCTTTGCATATGGAAGACAGGTGGCCCGCAAGGTTGTATCTCGCTAATTTGCCCAGGCTGGGCTCAAACTTGAGATGCTCAGCTGTGCTAAACATCCTGCATGATAAGGTGTTTGTGGTAAGACACTATGATTTACAGGGGAGGAAACTGAGGTGCACAGGGTTGACAGGGTGATGCAGTTAGCAGAGATGGAGTTAGAACCCTGCTCTTGTGGCTCTGGGGCACAGTGTGCTGTGTCTAGCTTCCCTGGCCGGGGACAGGCCCCTGCTGCTTGTCCCTTCCGGTTAAGGTGTGTGTTCACCACTCTGCCTTCCCCGTCTCATGCAGGTCCTGACTTCCTGGTAACCGAGGTGGAAAATGGTGGCTCCTTGGGCAGCAAGAAGGGCGTGAACCTTCCTGGGGCCGCCGTGGACCTGCCTGCCGTGTCGGAGAAGGACATCCAGGACCTGAAGTTTGGGCTGGAGCAGGATGTAGACATGGTGTTTGCATCCTTCATCCGCAAGGCTGCTGATGTCCATGCCGTGAGGCAGGTCCTAGGAGAGAAGGGGAAGAACATCAAGATTATCAGCAAGATTGAGAACCATGAAGGGGTGCGGAGGTGAGGCCCTGGGCCTTCCCCATCAGAATACAGCCTGTTTTAGGCGTAGCAGCAAACACCTGTAATGTCAGTGTTCAGGAGGCTGAGGCAGGAGGACTGTCATGAGTTCAAGCCAGCCCGAGCTACATATCGAGACTTTGTCTCAAAAAAAAAAAATGCAGCCTGGCAGACCTGGCCCAGACTCCTGAGAGGAGGAGGGGCAGGCCATTGTTATTTTAATGATAAAGTCAAGGTTTCCTAGTTGACTGAAAAGCTTGACGTTGTTCTGCAGGCCTGGGGACCAGCAGTGGAGAGGATAGGGTCGCAGGACCTGGGCCATCCTGCCTGACTCCTAGCAGGGCTCCAGCAGTGTTGGCTGGGGAGACCGAGGGGAAAGGAAGGTGGTGTGTTCTTGGAGGGGCCCTTTTTGGCCCTTTCTTGGCAGCCATGTGGAAGACCAGGCCCTCGTCTTCCATGCTGAGCCTTAGGCATCCTGGTCTATACTTAGAAAGGGTTGGCCCAGTGATGAGGCCCATCCTGATATGGCCCGTTCAGCTTCCCGTAGGAAAGCATGAGGTTCTCCAGGTTCATATTGCCGCAGCTCAGACAGCTATGTCCCTGTGCCCACAGCGTAGAAGTACACGAGTGCGGCCAGCCTGGGGTGTCTGTTCTCTTGACTCCCTGTTAGAAACCCCATTCAGTGTTTAAAGACAGTGTAGTACAGTGATCTAGGCATACCCATGTTCATAGTAGCTAAATCTTGGAAGTGGGGTAAGTGTCCATCAACAGATGAATAGATAATGTGGTATATACACAGTTGGAGTACTGCTTTACCATGAAGAAGGGATAAATGAGCCATTTGTAGAAAAATGGATGTACCTCAAGACCATTATGTTGGGCCGGGGATTTAGCTCACTGGTTCAGCCGCCTGCTCCGCAAGCACAAGGACCCGCGTTTGATGCCCGGTACCAAAAAAAAAAAAAAAGACCATTATGTTAAGTGATGTAAATGAGACACATTGTAAATATTGCATGGTTTCTCTTATTTGAGCGATCAAAGAGCAAAATAAAAGATAGATAATAGAAATTAGGGAGGTAGATCTTTTCTCAAATGGGAAAGGGACCAAAGAGATAGAAAGGAGGGGTAGAGAGAGGGAGGGAAAGGGGGTAAAAAAGGAATGAAGATGTATTAGTTACATTTACCAACTCAACCCAAGGAAATGTAATCATGTACTGCAAATAGGTAGTATTAAAAACTTTCATGATCACGTTCCAAGGGTGGAGCAGTGGTGTTGCATACCTATAATCACACACAGGAGGCTGAGGCAGGATTGGTATGAGTTTGAGGCCAGCCTGGACTACACAGCTACACAGCAAGATCCTGTCTCACAAAAGACAAAAGGGCTGGAGATTTAGCTCAGTGGTGCCACCACCCGTCTCACAAGCACAAGGTCCTAAGTTCGATCCCCAGTAGCCAAAAAAAAGACAAAGTAAATAAATAAAATAACCTCCCAGCACCACCCCTGTGGTTAGGGGTGTGCTTGGGGAGGTGGGAGGAGCCCAAGGATGCAGCACTGTGGCCTCACTGTCCTCAGCTGAGTGGCGGCGTGCTGCGTACCAGGCACTGTGGAAGCCTCCCCTCTGCCATCCTGATGAGCTGTAGGAGTCCCTGGCTGGACCAGCCACATCCCTCTCCTTGGGCAAGGGCAGGGGACAGCCCTTGAGTGTCCTTGGCTGAATGATGTCACGAGCCATCAGTGGCCTTGGGTTCACAGTGTTAGCCAGAAGTGCTGATGGGAAGAGAGACTTAGCAAGACCTCAGTGGGGCAGACGTAGTGGACAGGAGCCTGTGGGCTTTTGGAGGAGTCTGCCCCGTCACCTCACAACCACTGGGGTCAGGGGATCCAGGAGAGCTTTCCTGTGTCCCTGTTGGCATAACTTAGCTTCCCCTCCCTGTTCCTGCCTTCCCTGCCAGGTTCGATGAGATCCTGGAGGCCAGCGATGGCATCATGGTGGCCCGTGGTGACCTTGGCATCGAGATTCCTGCAGAGAAGGTCTTCCTGGCTCAGAAGATGATGATTGGGCGGTGCAACCGCGCCGGGAAGCCTGTCATCTGCGCGACACAGGCACTTGTCCCCTCCCCCTGGTGGGGGGCTGGGCCACATCTCAGTGCACATGTATTGCGGGAGCGCGCACACATAACATTCTTTCCCCTCTGCAGCCACACGTCACCTGGGTGCCCACGCCCCATCTCACTGTCCTGTCCTGCAGATGCTGGAGAGCATGATCAAGAAGCCGCGGCCCACACGGGCTGAGGGCAGTGACGTGGCTAATGCTGTCCTGGATGGGGCGGACTGCATCATGCTATCTGGAGAGACAGCCAAGGGCGACTACCCGCTGGAGGCTGTGCGCATGCAGCACCTGGTGAGAAAGGGCCCCAGCTCTGGTCCCCTCTGGCCCCGTCTGTTGTCCTCTGAGTCACAGCAGTAACAGGGAGGCAGTGGGACTTGGGCTGCCTCTTGGTTTGGTTTTTTTTCTGTTTTTCCTTCCCTGCCCACACCCCCACCTCTCCTGTTCCTTCATCGCACATTGCACCGTTCACTTCTGGCCTCACTACGTCCTTCCCATGGCTGAAGTCACAGGACGCTTATACCTCTTCCCTTGGACAGTCCGGAGGGCCTGGGTGCCCTGTCATAGTCTAAATGAGGCCCCGGGCCCCTGCTCCCAGTTGTCCCCTCTTCTGGCTTCCAACTTAGGGCCCCCCCCCCCCCACACAGACGGGGTCTACTCCTGGCCTGCACCTAGGCTGCTGCCTGCTCGGAGCTGACCCTGCATGGTGGCCGCAGCATGGACCTCCTGGTGGGGCTGAGTGACTGGCACAGAGCTACAGATGGGACTGGGTGGAGCTCCAAGTCCCCTCCCTCCTAGTGCCTCTAGGTCCAGCCTGGTGAACCTGCCCTGGGTCCCGACATGGCCTTTTCCCTTCCACCTAACTACTGATTCTTGCCCTCTCTGTGAGCCTAGTTTCCCTCAGCCCTCATTTAAAACACCGCCACCACCACCACCACCACCCACTCAAAGGAGAAGAAAAGAAAAGAAAAAGCAGCTAGGTATCTTCCTCTCTCACTGTCCGTGTGTCCTGATGGGCTGGAGCAGTTTCCAGGGGAGAATGAGAGTTTGCCCCATCTTAACTGCATCCCCAGGGCTGTTGTCAGTGTCCGCTGGGTTTCCGTGGACTGAAACTGGCAGAGACCATTCCCTTCCCTGTGGACATTTGTGTGGCCGGCACTGGCTGACAGCGACCCTAGATGGAGCCTGGAGATTGCTGTCCTAGGCGTGGCCTCCGAGTTGCTCCCTGGTGGGAAGGCCCTCTCTCTTTCCCTGGACACTCACCTCAGCTAGTCACCCCTAGAGCACCTGCTTTCTGGTCTGCCGACTCCTGCCCTGACTGCTCTGCTCAGTTGTGGGCCTGCCTGTCCTCAGGTGGGGGTGGGTGGGGGGTGCTCACCTTAAGCCACTCTGTGGAACCACAAGCCACATAGATTTTGTATGTCTCTGGGGAGTCATTTCAGTCATGAAGACCTCGTCCTAAGGTGGGTTAGATGAGATATATTTAATTACAACCTTGGTATCGCCACTGTGATCAAGTGGCCACTACTAAGTCCCTGTGCACCTCAGTTTACCGATTAGTGTTCCATGATGGGAAGCCTGGGTGTGTACCCAGGTCTGGTGAGGTGACGGGTCTCCACTGGGGGTCTGGCCTGAGTGCCAGCTCTAGGGTCTCAGTGCCATGAACTTCTCTGGTCCATTCTGTGCTCTGAACAGACACCTTAGAAGTGCGAGGCTCGGATTGCATGGCATTGTGTGCAAGATAAGTCCCAGGTCTGGCCAGGGTGTGGCTACCCTGACAGGCCTGTCCTTTCTGTCATCGGTTAACACTGGCCGACAGCCTCTTTGTCCCCTTAACTCTGGCCTGGTCTCTCCTGTGTCTAACCATAACCAAGAGCTGGGCAGTACCAGCTGTGGTTGTGTTCTGCTCTGTCCCTGGGCTGTGCATGCATTTTGATCTGTAGAAAACATGTAACCAGGAAGTCCTGCCATGGGCCTGCTTGGGATCCCTAACCTCCCCACTAAGATGTCAGTCCCTGCTCCTAATCTCCGAGGCTCCATGTGGCTAATTCTCGCTTGTATCTGACCAGTTATGTGTGATTATCTCGGCGGCTGTCTCTTGCCTGTTTTAATCATGATCACAAGGAAATGTCTTGCTAAATTTAGCTCCTGCGGGTGTCTGTCTCTTCCCATGGCTGTTTAGTGGATCCCTAGAAGCTCAGCCCTCTCCCGTCTTCCTGCTGAGGGCTGCAGAGCCTTGGCTTTGTGTGACCCCAGCTTTTCAGTGCCACTCAGCCTGTTTCCATGGCTGGGCTCCTCCTGCCTGCAGCTGTGCAGCACCCAGACAGCCATGTGATGGGCCAGGGCCTGCTCCTTCTTGTGAGTTGTGTCTCAAGGCAGCGTGGTCAAGTCCTCTGCCAGGGTGTGTTGTGGGCCCGTCCTGGCATATTTCCGTGCCAAGGTACGGAAGCCTGCCACCCAGTTGTCTCCTTCCACTCTCGTCCAATCAGAAAAAGGTTTTTCAGCCATCCCAGCTACTTGGGAGACTGAGGCAGGAGAATTGCAAGTTCAAGCCCAGCCTGGGCAACTAGCAAGATACTGCCTATTCCTCCAAAAAAAAAATCCTTCCAGAATGGAAGACCCAATTTCCCCCAAATTGCAGGGGAAATAATAGTTGAAGCATGAAACTACCCACACCTCCCAGAGCAGGTAAACTTCACCACCCTGCTGCTCTGTGTCTACCCGAAGGACAGATTTAACCTATGATATGTTCCTCTGATTAATTCCCCATTCTGTCTTTCCATGTGTTGTCTCTCTCGTGTTTTTTCCTCTTCTTTCCTCTTCCTTGTCCCCCTTCCCCCCTTCCCTAACCTTACAGATAGCTCGGGAGGCTGAGGCAGCCATGTTCCACCGCAAGCTGTTTGAAGAACTTGTGCGAGCCTCCAGTCACTCTCGGGACCCCATGGAGGCCATGGCCATGGGCAGCGTGCAGGCTTCTTATAAGTGTTTAGCGGCAGCTTTGATAGTGCTCACGGAGTCTGGCAGGTAGGGCCCCAAGGGCAGGTGTCGCTGTAGGATGAACGGCTTCTTGCGCCAGCTGCCACCAGGTCTTGACAGGGTGGACCCAAGGTCCTGTGTGGCTCAGTAGGTTCAGTGGACGTCACAGGCCTCTGGTAAGGCACTGGTCCTATGGTGCCACCACCTTGCTGTGCAGGAACAGGTTCCTTACCAGCCACCTGTGACTCTTCCCTGCCCCTCCCCCGTGATAAGGCTCTGATGAGGCTCTGTCCCCCCTCGTCCCTGCGGACGGATGTTGCTCCCCTAGATTGCCCGAGAGGCAGAGGCTGCCATCTACCACTTGCAATTATTTGAGGAGCTGCGCCGCCTGGCCCCTATTACCAGCGACCCCACAGAAGCCGCCGCCGTGGGTGCCGTGGAGGCCTCGTTCAAGTGCTGCAGCGGGGCCATTATCGTGCTCACCAAGTCTGGCAGGTAGGAGGCGGCAGGGCTCCTCCCTAGGGTCTGTGGAGCGGTGCTCAGTGGCATCGAGCCGAGGTAAGACCCTGCTGGCTGCCACTTGGGCCTGAAGAACACAGCAGTGCCCATGAAAGTGTTAGGCTTTGTGCATCCCAGCAAGTTCCCAGCCCCACAGTGTGTGGATGGACCTCCAGCTCCAGGTGCAAATGTTGCTCCATACTGAGGAGTTGCTCTTCCAGAAGGGCACAAGATGCTGGGCATGGTAGTGCCTGTAATCCCAGCACCTGAGGCAGGATCGTCACAGATTCAAGGCCAGCCTGGACTATGTATCAAGAGCCTGTCACAAAAACAAAAGAGCAAAAGACAACCTGTTTGGGTTATTCTAGTTTACTAAGTGCTCTCTTAACTAAAAGAGCAAAAGACAACCTGTTTTGGTTATTCCAGTTCACTAAGTGCTCTCTAACAATTGGGTTTAGGAAATCAGTGCTGTTCCCTGTGTCCCCCTATGGCATGTGGGCCTTAGCTGTAAAAGGCGAGGAATCTGTCTGGCTGAAGAAATGAGGCTGTGCCACCTTGCTGCCATCCTAGGGGCCATACAGCCAGGCCAAGGACCGTGTGGCCCAGTGACCTGGAGTTGAGGTCCCTTCCTAGCTGGGACATGGACCTGCCATCCCTCCAATAGCTGTCTGGAACGAGCTCGCTATCCGGCCCCACAGGGCGAGAGGTCTCCTGGGAGACAGTGGGGGGAGGGGGCAGTGCCATAGGCCGAGTGGCAGGTGGGCTCCCCGAAGCATGGGGACTGAGGCCCATGCCCACTCCCAGCAGTGGTCTCAGGGTGTCCAGCCTGGCTGAAGAGCGCCAGCCGTCAGGGTGACCTTTCCCCAGAGCTCCCACCCTCGCTCTTCCGTCTATTTTGAGCTCTGGACTTCTGGGATTTCACGCAGCTAGTCCTGATTTCAGCAGCTGCAGCCTCCCTGAAGGCTGTGTATGGAGAAGCCCAAGGCACAGCCATCTCTGCTGTGTCGAGCTTAAGTTTCCTTGACACCTGTTGAGTGTCCTCAAGAGTTTGCCTGCTGGGGCCCTGCTCCCCTGTAAGCCACACCCAACTGCTGCGACACATGTCTAGCTGCAAGTGTGCAGTGTCCCCACTCTGCCATGCCTGGATCTACCTCCTGGGGAGCACCTAGGGTTCTGAAACCTTAGAAGGGAAGTCAGATTTCTCTTGATAATCTAGTGTGGTGTTGTACACATGTAATCCTCACACTTGGGAGGCTGAGGCAGGCTTGCAATATTGAGGGTAGCGTGAACTACATAACAATACTGTAAAACAAAATTTCTCTTGATACTTGATTTGACTCGAGCTCAGCTGCTGGGACGTGTGTTGGGTGGTCAGGGTGCACAGTCAAGAAGCCCTGATTGTCTGGGGGCCACTGGCTCTGCTGTTTTCTGCAGACTTCAGTTGCCCTTCATGTGCTGCTTGGCTCATAGCTGTCATAGCAGCAGAGCTGGAGAGTCTGGGCCAGGGCTGCTGGTCTGTACCAGATAGATGCATTCGGGTTGTGGGGTGGATGGTGTTCTGCCAGCCCTGGGTCATGAGGGTAAGTGAGTGAACCTGACCACACTGGGTCAAGGTGACCCAGCTAGTAGAAGGGATGGCAGACGTTGGTGGGGCTGGCATAAGGAGCCTTCAGGGCAGCCTAGTGAGCTCATTGGAGGTTGAGCTACTGCCTGAGGCCCTCAAGTGCTTCTTAAGAGATTCCTGGGGAGCCTTTTGGTACTGGGGGTTGCACTCAGGACCTTGTGCTTGCAAAGTGAGGTGCCACTGAGCTGAATCCCCTGCCCCCTGAGGAGCTTTTAAAAACGTCTCTTCTTCCTGTCCCCATTCCGTCTCAGGTCTGCCCACCAAGTGGCACGGTATCGTCCCCGTGCCCCCATCATTGCTGTGACCCGCAATCCCCAGACGGCGCGCCAGGCCCACCTGTACCGTGGCATCTTCCCCGTGCTGTGCAAGGACCCCGTGCAGCAGGCCTGGGCTGAGGACGTGGACCTGCGTGTGAACTTGGCCATGAATGTTGGTGCGTGGCTGGGAGCCGGGCTAGAGGGGTGGGGGCGGGGGCTGGGCACTGGCTTTTCTGGGCTCGAGAGCCTGGAAAGTGGAAAGGGGGCGTGCAAGGGGCAGGAACTGGGTGATCACCCCTTGCCCTCTCTGCAGAAGTGTTTGCAGAACCCTTTCACTGACTTGGCCTTTCACTGGGTAAGAGACACCAAGGGGAGAGAGGCAGCAGCTAGCTCTGACCTTGGCCAAGGCTCTTCGCTCTCTAGGGTATAGCTGGGAGATGTCAAAGGTCCCTGCCTGCTGGGCCATGTAGGATCACATCAGCATCTCCTTTTGTCTGGGCCGGGAGACTGGCGCCACCTTGCGGTTTGACGCAGTAATGGTCAGTCCGTCCACCCCCTGCTTCTGCCCTGCCTGGCCTGGCTCCTATTCACCCGCCTCTCTCCTCTCCTCCAGGCAAGGCTCGAGGCTTCTTCAAGACAGGAGATGTGGTCATTGTGCTGACCGGGTGGCGCCCTGGCTCCGGTTTCACCAACACCATGCGTGTTGTGCCTGTGCCATGATGGCCCTGGAGCCCTTCTCCGGCCCCCTTCCCCGTCCCCTGCCCCCAACCCATCCATTAGGCCAGCGATGCTTGTAGCGCTCACTCTGGGCTGTAGTGCGGCACTGGTGGGCTGGGACACCTGGGAAGATTGCATCTCTGGCACCTTTTTGGGCTGGTGGTCCAGAGCTGGCAGCCCCCAGTGTGTCCCCATCCCAGCAAGGGATGAGGAGGGAGGCCCAGAGCTTGTTGCAGGACCTGTTCAGTTCCTGTAGAAAGAGGATGCCCAGAGAACCCAGCTGAGGCGGACAGCATGGGGGCTGAGGACATGGGACAGTGGATCTGGTGTGCCAGACTCTGGCCCTGGCCCCAGTTGCTCCCAGATCCTACTCAAGCCTCCCCACTCAACCTGTGTACCAGTTCTCTGCACCCGCACTCCACGCACACACTCCACCCGCCTCCTCCAGGCCTGTTGCTATAGAGCCCACCTGTGTGTCAATAAACAACAGTGAAGCTCCTGTCTCCTCTCTTTTCTGTGCTGGGGTGGGGGTGAGCCCTGTCCTCTGAGCAGGTGAGGGTGCCGAAAGCCTGCTGCCTGCAGTAGGCTCTGTGGCCATGGATGTGACTCACCTGCCAACCCTCCATCTGGGGGCAGCAGCTGGCTGCCTTGGGGGTGTGGGTCATTCCCTCCAGCACCTTGGGGAGACGGTCTGGCAGTGTTTAAATCTCCCTCGGTGGTGCAGCACTTGGGAGGGTGAAGCAGGAGGATCAACAAGTTCAAGGTCAGCCTGGACTATACTGCAAGACCTTGTGTAAAAAGCTCCTATGGCTGGGTGTGGCGTATTTGGGCCTCAGATGGGACAGGGGAGGGATGGAGGTTTCTACCCCTAGAGGAGCCCTTGTCATTTTTGAGACCAGGTCTTGCTGAGTTGCCCAAGCCGGCCTCCAACTGGCAATCCTGTCTCAGCCTCCCTGTTGGTCTTCCCCAGCAGAAACCCCTCGTCAGTGCTGTGGAATGTATGTTTTTATGTTCTCGGGGCCTGGGAAGCTTCTGCCCCAAATCCCTGAACAATGGTGGCAGAGGATCCTTGTCTGCTGAAGTCTCCCCCTCGATCCAGAAGGACCAAGGGGGCCCGGGGATTTAGCTCAGTAGTTCCACCACCTGTCTCGAAAGTGCAAGGACCCGAGTTCGATACCCCGTACCAAAAAAAAACAAGGACCAAGGGGGACTAGGGGGTGTTGACAATGGGTCCAGGCCCGGCCTGTGCCTTTCCGCCCCTGACCACTTGTGATCTGGCGTTGGGAGAGAAAGGGCCTGCTTGGCTCCCGGGAAGCAGAAATTTGTGGCCAGTGATCCCGGTTCTCAGTCTGGCCCAGTCTGGTTTTCATCCCCACCACAAGTCATTTATTTCCCTGTGATGACTGCTAACTAAATGATTACGGGTCCTGTGTCGTGGCGACGCTGCTTTCTCACTACCATGTTTTAAAGTCCTCCGCTGCTCTCGGGTGTCACAAATTGAGGCCCTGGAGCTCAGAGTTGGGCGGGGCAGGAGAACAGAGTTGGTTCCTGCAAAAGCACGGAGCTCTAGGACGGAAGAGGAAAAGCCGGAGGGGCCCCCAGGTTCTCGGGGTGAGCCGCAGTAGGTGTGGACCCAGGCCAGGCTTTCAAGATCTCGAACCCCGGGAGGCTCTGCTTTTGGACTTGATGGAACTTGAGCTCCACCTGGGCGGTGCAGAGGGGGCGAGCACTGGCCAGTGAGCTGTGTGAGTCCCGTACAAACGGCCAATGGGCGGGTGAGGGCGGGACTTGAGTGGGCCGGGTCTCAGTGCGCGGGGAGGCCCGGAGCCGCCTTCCCGTAGCCGGAGCCCGGCCAAGGCGGGCAGGTGGGGCTGAGGCGGGCTGATGTGGCTGCGGCGGGCAGGTAAGGGCTGAAGGCGCTGGGACTCCGGGACTCTGCCTGGATCAGGGCGGTCCGGAGCCGCGGGCGAGCTCCTCCGGTCCCGAGTGCGGGCTCCGGCCCAGAGCTTCGGCGGGAGTGCGAGGAGTCTGCGTGGGGTGCCGTGCCTCTGGGGGTCCCAGCCGGGCGCGGAGGGTCGGTCGAGCACCCCACTCCCGGTCCCTAGCATCCCTTCGCCACCACCGCCATCGTGCGTTCATGTTTGTGTTCATTCATTCCCCGCCACGTCGACTCCCAGTCTCGTTCGTCCCCACCCTCAGCATGGCGCTGCCCCTCCCCGGGCTCAGTCTGCGCTCCCAGCACAGCGCAGTCCACACTCGCAGCGGCAAGGCTGCCCGTGACGCCGCGGAGCTGTCCCAGCTTGACTGGGCCGCACCCACGCTCCACGCCCGGGCTGGCTGTGGCTGATCTGAAGCCTGGAGATATGGTCCAAAGTTGACCTGGAAGGAAAGAAAGTTTGTGCAGCTGAGGAGAGCAAGCAGGCGGCTTAGACAGGGGGTGACATTGCAGGTGACAGCCGGAATGGTGGTTTCTGCTTCTTGAAGTCTTGGGGCCCTTGGGTGGGGTTATTTGGGGGACGACAAAGCCAGGGGATGAAGCTGTGAGTTCCTCCCCTTGTCCAGGACCTGCACTGGCAGGCTGGGCTTTGGGGGACGGCCTGTCACCTCCGGGGAGCTGGCCCAGGGCCTGGCAGGGCGAATGTGTGCGTCTGTCCCCAGTCGGCCCCCCTCTCTAGTGGCTCTGAATTCGAGGAGGAGTAGAGGTGTCCCACAACCTGCTGGGTCTGAGGGTCTGGAGACTGAAATAAGAAACTTAATCCACCCCTTTAAATTAAGTATGTAGGTTCGCTTCTGCAGAGAAAGAATTTTTAGGACTCCTCAGTAAAGAGGAACGAGACAGATTTATTAGAGGAAGATATAGGACATACTCAGGAGCAGAGTGCCGGTGCTCAGGGAAATAGGCACGATACAGCTGGGGTGGGGCACACATTTAGAAGCTGTGTGGGTGATCTCGGATGTGCATTCTGTCTGCTAGGTTACAGTGTGAGCCATCCACAGTGGCTTCAAGTGGAGATGGCCTTAGACCTGCTGTCTCCAGTGCAGCTGCTTTCCGGGCTGGAGGAAAAGGGCAATTTGTAGGTGAAAGGGAATGGGGAGACCCATTCTCAGCTGAAAGGGAGTTGCCCAGGTTTGGTGTTTGGGGAGAAGGGAAAAAGTAAATAAATTGGGGTTGTGTTCTGAAGCCGCAGTTTTTCTTTAAAAGTACAATTTAAAAATTTTGATTTCCTGGTCTACTTTCTACCTAGTTTTATTTCTTCTATCCTACTTCCAGGCCTCAGAGGTCTAGAAAGACCTGTGTCCCGGGTCATCCCTCCAGGATGTTGCTTGGCCCTCGAGGGTTGAGGCAGTGAATCCTGTGCCAAAGGCCTCTTGCCTGGAAGCCCTTCTGTGAGCTGCTAGTGCCTGCTTGGGTGGCTCTACCCAGCCCTGAAAGTGGTTAAAATAGCGCATTGGCTGTTGAAAGCCAAGTTCTGTGTTTAGTAGCCTGACATGAAGAATTTCACTCTGGGAACCAGAAGTGAGTTCTTTTTTGTTATTGTTTTGTTTTTTGAGACAGGGTCAATGCTATGATGTTCAGGCTGGCCTTGAACTTCCTATGTAGTCCAGGCTGGCTTGGTGCTCTGGGTGATCCTCATGCCTCAGCCTCCTGAGTTCTGGGATTACAGCCTTGTCCCACTACATCCGGCCAGAAGTAAGTTCTAAGTCTCATGTTGTCCCTATTTTACTGTGACCTGGGGACAAATTACTTTCCTCCCCAGGCTTACTTGCCCTGAAGTAAGGAGATGGGACCATAGGTTTCTTGATGGTCTCTTCCTGCACGTGGCTGTTCTTTCTTTCTTTCTTTCTTTCTTTCTTTCTTTCTTTCTTTCTTTCTTTCTTTCTCTTTCTTGAGATATGGTCTCACTATGTAATTCAGGCTGGTCTTGAACTCACTATGTATCCGAGGCTGGTCTCAAACTGGTGGCAATCTTTCTGCCTCAGCCCCTGAGTGCTAGGATTCCCGGGTGCTGAGCCACCCCTCCTGGCTCACCTTTCCTTCTCCATCTCTGAGGTTTCCTTTCTTTCCATGATTTCCCCTTCACATGACAATGTGTGGAAAGCCCATGCAGTCAGGAGGGACACAGCACTCAACTTTGGTGGCTGATGTCTCAGGCTGATCACCAGAAAAGAATTGTTCAAGAAGGGAAAATAATTTCCACCCTTTCCAACCTCTAAAGACTTCTTAATGCAGCTTGGGTTTGATGAGAAGTCAGTGTTGACCATTGTGTCACTATTCAGCTGGGCTACAGGGCATGGATCAGTTATCACCTGTTATCACAAACCTTTGTGGCTTTCATTAATTCCCCAGCTGTTTACCCAGTGTGTGTGTGTGTGTGTGGGGGAACCCAGGGATAGAATTTCCTGTGTAATTAAGAAGTAACAGGCACACTGATTCCAAAGGAAGACATTGTTCTCCAGAATATAAACCTCTACACTGTGACAAATCATTCCACCAACAACTAGTTCTTTTTTGTTGTTTTTTGGTATCCGGGATGGAACTCAGGACCTTGTGCTTTCGAGGCAGGCGGCTGCACCACTGAGCGAAATCCCCAGCACATTGTTTTGTTTTTTGAGACAGGGAGGGTCTTGCTATCTTTTTCTGTCTGATCTTGGGCTGGCCTTGAACTCACTACATAGCCCAGGCTGGCCTCAAACTCACGACAGTCCTCCTTCCTTAGCCTCCTTGTGCTGGGTTTACGGACTTGTGGGCTTACACGTCCAGCAATAACTACACATTTTTATTAGTAGAGAAATGATCAACATTTAGGACTGGGCTGTAATAACCTGTGGTGGTTTAAATCCTTGTCCTAATGTTTCCTCAGTGATGTTTAAAATTGTTAATTTTTAAGCAGACATTAGCTTTTGGCTGGCTCTATTTTTTTTTTTTTTTTTTGGTACCGGTGATCAAACTCGGGTCCTTGCGCTTGTGCAGCAGGCGGCAAAACCACTGAGCTAAATCCCCGGCCCTGGCTCTATTTTTTTTAACCTGAAATCAAAAGCACTTAAAGCATTAGTTTAAATCAAAGATGAATTGCTTTTCCTTCTTATGTATTTATTGACATGGCAGATCAATATGTATTAAGTCATTGTCACAATCCTTCTGGCCTTTTTTTTTTTAGATTTTTGAGACAGGGTCTTGCTATGTAGCTCAGGTTGGCCTTGAACTTGTGGCAATCCTTCTGCCTCAGCCTACTGAGTGTTGGGTTTACAGGTGTGCATCACCATGCCTAACTATCCACAAATTTCAGCTGAGTTACTACTGGCTCTGTGTTGCTTGTTCTCTGTCTGTGACCAGACTCATATCTGACCTCCCTCTAAGCTTCTTAGGCTCAGTCCTGGCTGGGCATATAGTACGTGCTCAGCAAAAGTATTTTCCCTGCAGCGCCCCCAGCTTGGATGATCTAAGATAGTGTTTTCTGCTTGAAGAATCTCAGCAATTTTTCAGCCCAACTCTGAGGA